AGGCATACTTACAGCTACTGGGAGTATGATGGGCCATGAGAAAAATAATGTTATATCAGCTATTGCCTTCACAAGAGAACCAGTGCACTTTTAGGTCTTAAAAAGCCAGCAGGTGAATGTGCCTTAATTACTAAAATTGCTTGCAGGGAATGGTGATGTTAAAAATTGAAAATGGATAAGCACTAATAATAATTGCTTGCTCTCTGGAGGGAAAATGAGGTGTAAGCAGCTGTGAAAAGATTGTGAAATGCTGTAATGAAATGAGAAGGATTTGAGATGAAATATTATAATGGGGCCTTTTTAGTTGCTCTCTGAAGTTATGGTGTGTATTTTTTAGTTGAATAGGAACTTCAGTTTGTATAATTCTGCCTGTATGCTTTAAGCTTGCTTTAAAAATAAATAAACAAACATAAACACCCACAAAAACATGCAATAAAATACTGGAGGAAGAGACAGAAGGATAAAGCAGAGTATACTGGAGACTCCTTTTAGAACAACAAAAGGATGAGAAATTAAGAGTGTAGCAGAGTGTTGTGTTCATTCAGCATTCCTACGTATTTTTATTACTTACTGAAAGTAGGAAAAAGATCTAAAAATAATGAAGATCACAAGGAAATGTGTGTAAAGCAGTAGTGTGGATGAATCTATTTCAGCAAATACTTTGGAGCTGTGGAAACTAGCTTTAGTAGTTATGGTGATGCTAACACTTGAAGTCATTCCAATATACTATAAAATACTTAATGTTGGAGCATTCCATGGCAGAGAATCTTCCTGAATGATTTCAGTCAACCTTAAAATACTATTTGCCTTCTAAAGGAGTTGAAAACAGAGACTGAAATGTTAATTGTGACTTCAGGTTATAGTGCCCTATGCAGGGTCCAAATCAACAGTGTCTGAAAGTGAAGCCACAGGAGCATTTGAAGTTTCTATAAGACAAAATATTCTGAACTAGTCTTGGTCATCTCTTGAAGACAATAAATGGTTTTTATGCTGATTCCCAGTGGTAATAGTCTGATGGCAATTTTTGACAGTTTATCTTGCTGGTATGTCTTGCTAGGACCAGCATGTTTTAAGTCATTAGTGTTTTACTATTGCAATAGGAAAATACAGCACAACATATATATGCATCATCCCATAAGCCGTTCATTCCAAGGCAAACTAATGGTTCCTTCATTTTATGTGTCAAATAAAAAAGCCCCACATCTATATTTAGATAACTTGCTCACGAGATATGGCAAGATGTTCTTACTCAGTGCACAGCACAGTGAGTTGGCAGGGCTGGTGTTTCACATGACTGATAATGCAGAAGTTTCTATCGGTATTGCTGTGGGTAGGACAAAGAATTGCGATGAAGAGGGAACAAGATAGAGACAGTTCACAGTATCCCCAAAATACCTATCAGAAGAGCCACTTAAAATAAGCCTTACTGCATGCTTGTGGTATTTTGGAGAAGGGGATTAATATGTGTTAGAAAAGACAGTTTATTTAAAGATTTATTACTATTTCCAAAGGCAGTTAAAATGCAAGAGACTTCACTTTATCCAGAGATAACTTAAAGAGAACCATACATACAGTTTTGTTGTAGATGACTTCAGAGGTAAAAGTACAGAAAAGAGTAATCAGTAAATACAAACCTGCTTTCTGTTTCACCAGAAAAGGCATTTACCATGGAAGGTTAAGGTGTGATGTATGAAGAGAATTGCGTGTTATTCAGCACGTGGCTGATAAACACAAATGAACGCAGTAACTCTGTCCCCATTTTCTATGAGGAAGAGGACACAACTGCAGATACTACCAGGAAGGTATCTACCCCTGGCTTCAGTATTACATCCTGTCCCTGAACTGGTGGCTAGTTTTGGCTGAGGGTGAACTGACTCTTGATCATTAATCATCTAATCATCCAATGTGTTTTTTCTTTGAAAAGAAAAGAAGGGAAAAAGTATTAAAAATACCACTAAAAAAAACCCTCAACAAGATGTATCATGTGGAAGAACCAGAGGGCTGTGATAAAAGTGGATAAAATACTGTATGTAAGATTTTATATGTGGTTCTCTCAGCTGTCATAACTTCCTTTACATGAATAGTAGGTGCATAAGCACCACAAAGGCCAGAAAAGGAGCCTAGTGCTTAGTGCTTGTGATTTATAGGGAGAAAAAACTTATTAAGTGAGTGGCTGGCATTTGTGGACACTTATTACACATCCTAAATTATCACTAGTAAATTATTAGAATTCTTAAGTAGTCTTTATTTTTTACTGCAACTTTCTATTAGATAAACTGATTAATCTTACGTTTAGAAGAAGCTTCACACAACACATGCTAGCTAGTTTGTTCCTCATCCTTCAGTGGTGAGGGGATTGTGTTTGTGCAAGAAAAATATAGAATACCTGGAAGCATTCTGGTTGCTGACTTCCAAAAGGGTGGATTTTCTAAAACTCCTAAGATTTGGCACAGCTGCTCTGAAAAGTTTAAATGGAAAATGACAACAAAATCTGGGAGTGGGCATCCAGTAGAATATGCTGAGGCAGAAGAACAGTGATGTCACAGGTGTGAAAACAATGTTTTCTTGATGAGAAGGAATCTCAGTTAAAGGAAATTAAAACAGGAATTAAAAGAGCATTAAGGCTAGGAAAAAGGGCAATAAAATATCTAGTAGCAAAAATAGACATTAATGAATAATGGACTAAAAAGTGTATTCCTCTGACCAGTGTGGTCAGAGACAAAGCATTTAATATATTTTGTAGTGGGGAAAAACATTCCCTTGATCAGAGATAGATTCAGTGACAGACATGGATGGCAAAGCTGAGTAATTTAGTAAAGGAAGAAACAGTAGTAATTTCTGTTGCAGGTTTTGACTAAAGCTGGGGCATATATCTACTTCATGTCATGCTACTGATATAATAAAGATGTTTGTCATAATAAAAGAATGTGAGGTGACATCTGCTAAAGTAAATATTCTCAGCTGACTGTGACTTATAGAAACTAGACAAGGAGTTTTGTGAATTGCTGAAGTTAATGAATAACTGCAGAAACCTTAATTTCCTGCTAGCATGATTCTGGGGAAATCTCCAGTAAAAAGCTGTCTTTTTTGCCTTCCTGAAGCGCCTGGAGACTCCATGGGAACTGTCCCTGGCATACACCATATGCTGTTGTCATCAGCACTCATCTCTCTGGTGCCTGCTGTCTTCTTGCACAAAGCTGATAATTTCCAAACCCAAGTAAAGGGGTGTCTCTCTGCACCTAGGGTGCTGCAGTTGTGGCTCAGGACCTTGTTGAATTCGGTGATGAGCTTACAGGCGCCTTCCTCCTCCCCCCCCATTCAGTTCTGGGAGACAGTAGCTGCTTGGGAGTTTCCCAAGTCCTTCCTGTGTTGTCATAATAGAATCAGGTTATTTTAATCTTCTCTGTCTTCGTGGTTGACCAAGGTCTGTCCACAGGCCAGCTAATCTTTATCTCCAAATATATTTCTATTTGTGATCAGCATTTTTGTGTTAGCTTGTTTTTATCTTGAGCATTGAGTAATAAACGTTTGGCTGTAGCAGAATCCCCTTTCTTGAATGCTGGACATTCTTGCTGAGGGTGCCCCCAGTCCCACTGTTTGTCACTGAAAAACGTGTTTAACAGTGCCAGTTCCAATACTGAACCTGAGCCCTGATGAATACTTTTGCTTTTCAGATTGCTGGCAGACACCTTCTGTGGGATCCATGGTGACAGGTTTTCTTTCTGGCAGCTATCACAGATAGAGGTGGCAAGTCTGAATAGTCACCCTCCATCCCTGCTTTCCTCTGATTCAAAGCAAGGAGAAAAACAGTCTCCTTGCTAGAAAAACTATTCCTTCCCTTGGGAGCAGAGGGCCAGGTACATGGAGAAGTCTGTAGCCCTGGTAGTTGCTGGCTGTGCAAAATTAGGTGTTGGCTGCAGCAGCTTGTGGACAAGGGTTCCTAGATTTGCTTTTTGTTTTGCAGGATAGCTAATCAATTTTGGCTCATGTCAAAAATCTGTAGCATCCCAACATCTTTTTTGCAGACCTTGAACACAGGTCTTAGTGTTTCATAGATTCTTAGATAGCTTTAGTGTAATTGGAGATTATTAGATATTCTTAAGGATTAAAAGTAGGAGCCCAGAGATTTGCTGTGTTTCCATGTAACCTTTCAAAAACTTAAGGTTGTTTCCTCTAGTCTGTTTTCCTATTTATCTTTCCCTACCCCTTTTTTATTTTCTTCTAGAATTGCATTTCTTAAATCTCTACTGAAGTTGTCAAGGCTAGTTAGAGGAAGGAGATTGTGTGCCTGTCTCATGTAATTCCTGTATTGCAAATATGGCTGAAGCTAATAAAAAGAGATCTCTATAATGATCGTACAGCAGCAGAACAAGGTTATGTTTTATAGCTTTGACAGCTATCCAAAAGGTGTCTGTTTCTGAGGGATGGATGTTCTTAACAGAAAAAGATTCTGCTTTCCTGCTTTGAAGAAGAATTGTTGGACAGAATGGTTATGATATTGACGTCACTGATGCAGTTGTTTAGCATATGCATTGAGACACAGTCCCATATGTATGCATGCATCTAGAATTTCACACAGAAAGCTCCAGTGTGAGTACCATATCTGGAACAAGTCCTGCTACCGTGAGATAGAGGATAGCAAAATGGCTGTGATCTTTCTTTATCCTGGCACACAGTACAAATGTTGCTCTATACATGTGCATAGCAATAAGGGTATAGATTTATCAGACTTTGTTGTTAGGCAAACTCTGATGGACACGAAACATATAAATACTCCAAAGGTACTGTGGCTTTTGCTTGCTGTTAATGAGCATTGTATTAATAGTAGCATAAATAAAATGATGCAGAGTTACAAGTCCACTGTGGAAAAGCCTCAAGCTGTTGTAATCTTCAGACTACCCACTACTATAGGTTTCTGATACCAAGTAGATACTTTATTGTGGATTAAAGCAGAAAGCTCTTTACATAAATGAAGTATGATGTATATATTTTAATATTAGGTCCTTAGAAGAACATCATGATCATCCCAACGTGGTAATGGGAGATCTTCAGTCAGATGAAGAAGATATCATGAACAGTTCTGATGAAGATGATGACACAAATTCTGATTCCAGCAAAGGGGAAACTGATCTTCAAGAAGATAAACAGGTATCTTTTTATCTTTATCTTCTGAAGCTATTCCTCAGTCTTGCAGTATTTCATAAGTTGTAACCTGTTGGGATATTTTCAAATGTAAACCATCTGTTGCTTGTTGAGGTCTGACCTTCTGTTACCTTCTGTGAGTGCTAGCTTGGAGTGATTTTCCTTATTTTAATCTTACTTCTTCTTCAAATGAGAAGCAGGAAGACAGTGTTAAGTACTCTGAATTAAATGAAGTTATGAGGGTCCTGTCTCTCCCTCTGGAGGTACCCATGGTCTTACTTTCTCAGTCCTGGACACCCTGTAATCAGCCTGCCTGTAGACCAGTGCCTCTCCTCAGCACCAGTCCCAGCAGCTGTTTCCTTTGATAGTAGTTGTATCTGCTTCCTTCCTTTAAAAATAATTTAAAAACAAAACAAAAACAAAGCCCCAACAAGATAAACAGAAAAACCCAATGAAACCTTATAGTGCTGGAAGAGATGACTTGGCATGGTGGGCCTGAATGTTGTTAAACCAAATGAGAGGCCTAAACTGGGAAAGAGTCAAGAGAAAAGCTTGTTCCTTTAAAACTAAAGACTTTACCTGTATAGAAGCTAACTTGCATGCCTCTGGAATTGCCCTCAACCTTTCACAGTGGAGTTCTACAGGAAAGTGTCCCTATTAGGAGGGCTCTCAGGCAGGTTTTATGGAGTAATTCAGTGCTTGCTGTGAGGCATCTGCTGTTGCTGGCTTCAGCTGCCTGCGGCACGTGCAGCCGGCAGCTGGGAATTAACAACCAACTTCCTCACAGCGAGAGCAGCTGCAGAGGAGAATGAAGCAGTCTCTGCATCGGTCATCAGCTGGGCTTGTTTCATTTTTCCTTACCGCAAGCATGTGGCTGTTTTGATGCTTTATATCTGTTAGGGGACTTACAGGGCTTCCTTCCAGTGTTGTGCCGGAGAGCCTTATTTGTATCCCTTTGGTTCTCCCATTAGAGACTCTCAGAGCCAGAGTATCTTTGTCTGAGCAAATGCAAAGTGGCCCTTTCAGTGCCAGCTGGTATGTGAAAAGTCTTTCAAATGAGGTTGAAAACAGGCTGTGATACTTTGTTTTGTAATTGTTTAGCGGTAGCATCTTGTTCTCAAAATACTAATTTTCATCTCATTTGCAACTGACACATCCACAGTGATGGCAGATACCTTGCTCTGCATAATTGACTTACTTGTGAATTCAGTCTTGCAGGGAGCCTGTCAGCTGTGCTTTCTAAATAGGCACAGAGGCCTGAGAATAGGTGTTACAATATTGTCTGAATGCAATTGACCCACACTGGATAGATCTCAGTGTTCTTTAGCAATAAGTTTAATTTCATAAGTAAAATTCCAGATCTGTGTGCAGATGTCTATCTATATAGTATATAAAATAAATAATGTATTTAGCACATATGTGCTGTTATACAAAATTATTTAATTTAGAAATTAATTTTATTTCAGTAATTAGGTGTGGTGTCATTTGAATTCCAATGAAAAATTTTAATTTAGATTTATTTTTTATTTTGAATACAACAATACCATTAAAACCAACCTATGAGTACTATCTGTTCCATGGTTTATTTTCCAGTACTTGGCACTAATTTATAGGTTTTGAGAAGAACTAAATCTTCAGAGAAATCTTGCAACGTTAGTGCTTATGCACCAAAGTTTTGTGGATAAAATGCCACTGGTATCTGATTTTCTAGATAAACTGTTCAGTGCTCATATTCTACCATATTCAATACAGCCTTCCCAGGAGTTCCATCTCACTTGAGTTGTATATTCTGTGATTTTTTTAGGGCTCCTCATCATCTCTTTCTTTGTAGCCCATTAATGGAAGCCTGAATGTGCAATAGATGTGACAGCTGGCAGCAGAGAAGCATATGGCAAATCAAGAGAGCTGTTTTGGAGAAAGGTGTTCCATCTGATGGGAATCGTTACACTACACACGTTACACATGGAAGTTACACTGTGTAGCATACACATTTGCATCCCAATGCCTGCCCCATTTGCTCTGTTATACCTATTCCCTCTGTCTGATGTTGGACAGTGCCATTGGTTTTTTGGAAGCCAAATATGCATGTGAAACCCAAAATCATCTCCACAGTGTTTCAGGCAGATGACAAGGCTCACATATCTGCATCTTTGGAGTACAGTTGCTATGTATTCCAGCAGCTCCGTTAGTAGATTGTCAGAAACTGGCTTTTCTCTTCAATGTGATTTTTTTTGTAAGGAAAATGTATGTCTTTTAAAATGTTTCTGAAACACATTTGAGTTCACTGAAAATATTACTGTTGCTGTATTAATCAGAAAAAAAGGAAATCAAATAAGATAGAAATACTACCTGTACTTTAGTACTTTTGCTAAACCAGTAATTGTTGTTTGCTAGGACTTCATTCATTATGGCCTTCAGTGCTTTGTGTAATAATTAAAAGAAAAGGCTGACAGTGTTGTAAAAACTGCCCCTAGCTAATATTGTTGTTTCCAGATACAAGCTAAATTGATTTTCTCACAGATCCTGAAAAACCAGAAGATGTCAAAGCCAAGAGATTTCAAAGCAGTATGAAGTGTTTTTCTCAGAAGTAACTATCAAATAATTACATTGAATTTAAGGAACTAACAGCTGGAAATAATCTTTATGACAGTTTTAGTAGATGTGTAGTGTAACATGTAATTTCATTTGCAGGGTAAGGCAGCTGGAAAGAAAACAAAGGTTTACCATATTGCTAAGGAGATCATGAGCTCAGAGAAAGTGTAAGTGTCAATGCTACACTTAATAAATACTCAATTTATTTTAATTGGGCAATTAAAATGTAACTGTTTGCTTTTTCTTGCTTTTCTGATAGGTTTGTGGATGTGCTAAAGCTCTTACACATTGTAAGTACTTAAAAAAAACCAGTTTCCTCTTCTATTTGTTTAATCTATTAAAGTTTTATATTTAGGCTTTATGGTAGTGACTGTGCCTTTTTTCTGCTGCATCTACATATTCAAAATATAAAAATTAATCTAATTAAGCTGAACTTTAAAGTTTCACATTTTACATAATGCATGAATATTTTGCTGGTTTCTTCTGGATCTCCTTAATAATTTATGCAGTTTCCAGTTGAGTGTGGGTATTGAATACTGAAAATTGAAGATATATCAATTTATGTTAATGAGGGTCATATTTATGAGCCAGCTTGTACTGGCTTATAAATATGTTCACAGCAACAAAAAGCTTTTGGTTAGAATAAGTCCTTAAATGGTGGGGGGAAAGCAGAAACAAATTATTTTTAAAATGTTACATTAAAATGCACATTCTTGAAGTAATCCAGCTAATAGCTCTAATGGTGCATCCATCACCAAGGCAGTGTATTTTTTTGAGGCTGCAGTTCCTTGACAGAGGTTTGCTTTCTGATAACACTTGTGATTGTAGTTTCTGCAATGTGTTGTACGCAGCAAGGGTTAAGTATTTAATCTGTGTTTGTGCAGATCAGTCATCTGTAAAGCATGCTGTGTTGAAGGTGATAATAGGAAATTAATGAAGAAATTTTCTTTCTCTAGCTCTGTTTTGTGTGTTTTCTGTCAGGTTTGAAATGATATGTGTTTGTACCATTTTGTTACTCTATTAAGTGCAAACATAGTGTTTTTTTCCTTGGGCAGTAGAAGTGGTTATATTGCAAACAGATGCATTGGTCTATCTCAGTCTCTTGAGAAGTGTGTTCTGTGAAACTGAGAACAAAGGATCTTATAGATTGTTGTATACCAGAAATTTTTTTCAGGGAACAAAAAACTCACCACATCCTTTGCTGATTTCTCTTTTGCTTTCCTCCTAGTAAATGATTTTCTGGTTCTGTTCAAGCTTGGTTTTTAAGAGCTGGCTTAGTCAGTTGCAGCCAATATATAATTTATATTCAATATGGTTTCTAATACAGAACTCAAATACTGGTAAAAGAAAGAGAGTTGTCCTAGGCAAGTTTTAAGCTATGTAATTTTAAATTATCATATTTTTCGGACATCTAACTTATTTTTTTGAGGTATCTTTGCTTTTCAGTGTACCAGCTTTTAGGTAATATGTGCAGTGCTGGAAGAAAGGCTGCTGGTGAGGAGGATGCAGGCAAGCAGAAGAACAATGTGAGAAAGAGAAGAGTGGAGAGCTTAGGAAGTTTCCAGGATAAAGCTGTCCCCACAGTGTAAATGTGCAGTGGTGTAGGATGTGTTTTGCTTTTTCTTTAATGGATAACTTGCAACTCTATCCATGACAGTCTGCTAGTTTTTAGCTGCCAAATAAAAACTATTAGAAGTGTTTTTGTTGGCTAGCAATAACAATCAACATGTATTCAGCCTGGTCTAACAGGGAGGATGTTAGACTAGGAGTTTAGGAAATACTTTGTCCTGAACATGTCAGTTGGCCTGCAGCAGGAACCTTGGTGAGTGTCCTTGTAAGAGAGGGCACTGGTTTTGAGGCTCTGTGTGTGTGTGCATTCTTCGTTAAATAAAAACTGCCATAGCTGAGAAAGGTTGCAGATGCCCAGTTTATTTCCACAGAGTGGTATGCCTGAGTATTTGTGTGGTTTTCACACTCATTATTAAATCAGTTGATTTAATTATATATTTCTTACGGATAATATTTTAATGATGATAAAGCTATCCTTTTGATTTTGATGTGCACTGACCACTTTGGCTTGCTAATTACCAGTCAAGCAACCTCTGACAGATTTTTGATTTAGAACTTAGATTCTCCCCAGACTGGGCTCTTTTAGCCATAGTAAATTTTTGGCTTATCAGAGGATGCTCCATTGCACCTTCTGATCCATCTATTAGTGGTTTTCCACTAAATTTTAGTGACTAATTCCATTACCAATGATCTGAAAGGAATATACTCTCCTCAGTATATTTTACTAATGTCAGCTAAATGTATCACATGGCGCCAAGGAAGTGGACTGTTGATGTAAGAAAGAACTTTTTAATTTGCTTCATCTTAGGGCCTTTGAAGTGGAATCTAAAGCAGTTGAGGAGGTAGGAATGTGACTGCAAGCTGTTTATAAGTACCTCTGACATTTTTTAGCACTTTTTTTCTTTTATGTTGACAAAGTCAAGTTAGGTGGAGCAACTCTTCCAAGATACCACAGAATGCCAGCCTGTGTGGACCCTGTCACACATTACATCTGACTGCTTCTGATGAAGACACACTGCAAAACTATAAACACTTGGTGATACTTGTATAAATACTAAACAAGCTGGTCATAACAGAGATAAGGGACTCACCTGGTTTTGCACACAGAGTCTCAGAAGCAGCAAATGGGGTTGCTTGAGGATGTAATCAAACACTGGATGTAATCTTGAATTCTGTTTCAGTTACAGTATTTCTGTTACAGTGTTAGTGCTTTTTTTAGGGCAAGATTTCAGTAAAATGCTTTTAGAAACTCCTGGAAACAAAGGACCTTAAATCACACTAGCTCTTCTGTATGCATATCTGTGAGATGCATTGCCTCCTGAGAGTAAACAAGGTTGAGAATATGGGAGAAGTGCTATTTTTTCCTAAGGACACTTGCAGGAAAAAGAAACAGTGAACTGGGTGTAAAACACAAGTGACATAAGAAAAACAAGCTTATCACTTCTCTCTGAGTTGCCCTGTGCCTAAAAAACACCCAGTGTTCCTGGAAAAAGGAACAAGGCAGGATTGGTGCTCTTTGTACTTCTTTCTTGTGAGATTCTTTGGAGATGGTTTGCTTTGCATGAGTGAGAGGACCTTCTCAGCAGCACCCTGGCACTGAGGGTAAGCTGCCTGGCTTATTTGTTGTCATTTTTTTGGTACAGTTTTGCTCTGAATTTTGTTCTTTTGCCAGAACCCTCTGCTCTTTTTGTTTTTCCACTCTTTTTGATTCTGTTTCCTCCCTGCTGCTGAGGTATAAGCAGCAAGGCTTCTGGTCCAGCAGAGAAACTTGGGTTTTTGAGATTACTCCTTCGACTGCAAGGCTTAGTGTGTAACTTTTTGCTGTGTGTTAAGAAAAACTTAGGCCTGCAAGCTTTTGCCTGAGCCTTTAAACCTGTGCTTCTGACTTAGACCCCTATTCTGTCCATGTTTGGACTCTGAGACCAAGTAAGTAGGAGCTTATCAGTAGGCACCTCTTAGCATTTCTGCAGACACAAGATCAACCTCTTATTGCAGAGGGCAGATTGTTTTCTCTTGTGTGTCCTTGCAGAGACACAAGAGTGAAAAATTCTGGTTTAATGTTTCTATTTTTCAGAAGAAAATGGCAATGTTCTGTGTATAAAAACTATATATAGTTTATATTTATGTGTGTGCATATATGTAAACTAATGTCTATTGTAGCAAGTATTATGAAGAATAATTCATAGTTGATTTGGAGAAAGAATGTAACAAAAAATAGAATAGCTATGGCCTTTGGAGCAAAGTTCTGATCTCTGGTCCTGGCTTACGACAGACTTACTGTTTGATTGTGAAAAATTCTCTCAACATCCAACTCCTTTTTATCCATCTACATAATTTCAATGTTTGACCAGTCTGAGGTGCATATGTTGATAAATATTTAGTCTCTGAAGTACTTTAGAACTGCTGAGACATTTGACAATGAGTTGTAACTGTAGTCCTTTTACTAAGAAGACTAATAAAATAGTTTTCATTTAGAAGAAAGTATTGTTCTACTATTTATCCTATTGTCTGAAATAGCATTCTGGGAATATGCCACAGTCAAATCATTGATCATTGAAAAAAAAAGTCAACTACATTATTTTGTTGAAGACCTATAAATTATTTTATTACCTGAGAATAAAGGTGTGGAACAGCTTGGCAGATTTCTAAAAGTAATGACATATGTTTGAAAAATGTTATGATCCACACTTAGTCATAGTCATAGTCTTGGTTAACTATAGTTACTGTAATTTAACTTAGCAGTTTATGGCTGATAGTCTGACTCTAGCTAGGAGTGTCTATTTATATTTTAAATAATCTATTTATGAAATCTTCTGTAGCTGTATTGCTAAGCTGTCATGTTTACAGTTTGTCACATCTAGCAGCCTGGCTGTTGTGAAACTTCCTCTTCTTCCCTCCTCCTTCCCCATAGGATGTCTGTGTGTTTGTGTATTCCTTGAAAAGTATCCAAATGCAAACCTACTTTTTTCCCTAAATTAAACTGATACTTGAGCTATCTGCAGGTGTATTTAGCTGGGGAATTTGTTCCTCAGTGGAAGGGATTATGACTTTTTTTTTTTTCTGATGGTATGTTTTGGGAGAACAGATCCAAGATGAATATTGGTTGAAAGCTTTAGGAATAGAATACATGACTATGTTCAGATTATGTATTACTTTCTCTTTCTGTTAAATTTCCAAGAAGTTTTAATTTCACCCATTTGAAATTATCTTAATTCAACTATTAGGTATCTGAAGGTACACTTGACCCAGTTAGCAGCTGAATGAGGTTTTAGTGTGCTCAGTACCTCTTTTGGTTTACAACTAAAGTTGTCCTTTACTCCTTAGACTGACACAGGCAGATCACTGTGGGCTGGGAATCCTCTGGGGGGAAGAACTGAGGGATCATGAGTCAGGGCCTTTGCAGAGGGGAAGTGCATGGGCTGATTGCAGATGATTCAGAACAGGGTCAGAATTATTTCAAATATCACAGCTTTTTTGCTTGTTTAAGGAAGTTGCATTGAAGGAGTGGTGTGAGGAAACAAAAGCAGTGATGATGGTAACCTCCTCAAATATTGTTTAAATACTCCACAGCTATATAAGGGGAGTGTATACCAACAAGATAAACAGAATTTCCTACACATTTTCAAGTTGGAAAATGTGTTACTGCCTGTTTTATCAGGCGGTAATTCAGCAACAGTATGTACTCAGAAGCCATTAATATGCCTAGACTGGATTTTCATATGGACGAGTACCCAGTGGGAAGCTGTCTCAGCCTAGCATAAGCTAAAACTGTTTCTGGTCTGGAAAGAATGTTCCTTCCAGGGATGGCGATGTGCACTGTCCTCATGAAGTAGCTATGTGAAAACAATTGCCTTTATCTAATCAGTAAAAAGTGATATCAGAGGATTATTATTGGGCCAGAATATAATGTAAAACTAGGAATTGTAAACAAGTATTTCAAAAAATGAACAATAGCCTCCCCACTCCTGGAAGGGAAAAAAAATCTGGTTAAAAGCTGGGATGATAGTATAACTAGCATAATATTTTGGGTTTTGTCATGCAGCATATGAAACATGTCTAGAGTTGCAAATGTTTCTCAGTGAAATAAGCATAATAATTCCAAAGTGTGGCAAGTTTGTTTTCGGATTTTTTTTATTTTATTTTTTATTTTATGTTTTTTTCTGATGAGTAAGATTTCATTATTTCAAAGACCTATTTTTAATTAGAAAATCTGTCATTAAAATTCACTTGTAATGGATTGCTGCATTGCTTCAAACAGAATAATTTCTAGGACAACCTAGGTGATTGCCTTTGAACAGGCTGATGAAAGCAGTGCTCTTCAGCAGTTTTATATAGGACAATGTGCTAAATATGTTTGTAATATAAATCACGTCATGCAGGCATGTATAGATATCAGAGCAATGTATATATTATTTGCAAGAGCAATTCTGCTTTTATTTAACAGTGAACTGATTTAGGTTTAGAAGGAGCTAGGTCTTGGTACTTTAAATACTTTTACTACAGTTTCTAAGCCATTCATCTACTTGCATTAAAAGTTGTCATCTGAATACTTTCCACCCCTTGGGGTGAAATTTCAGGGTTTAGTTTGTAAATTGGCATATTTTATATCTGGTAATTAAAACAGATCTGATCTGTGTTTTGTCCTTTTGGATATGAAATTTCTTTCTCAGAAGGCCAGTACCTTCAAGTGTAAACTCTGTTAATTCCAACCTTGTTACATTTGTTTTTCTTTTCCCACCCCCAATCCCCAGGCATGTGCTCTCAGCATTCAACTCTTGAGTTTATCTCAAGATGAACTTGGCATGACAGTTACTTCACACCCACTACCAGGTTAAAAATAAATCTTAATATGATTACAGTGGCAAATGCATAGTCAGTAGTGAAGATAATTAAAAAAAAAAAAAAAAAAAAAAAAAAAGAGAGCATTGGAATTTAGCTCTTGTTGTTTTGCAGGCTTTTGAAAGGTTCACATTATCTTTCTTCTGTATTTCCTCTCTGCAGCGCTTCTTCAGCTTACTCAGTTGTAGAAGGGGACATAGGGGGTGATGAAGTAAAGTTTGGGTTGGCTGTTTTAATGATAGAGCCTTTCATGGCATAATTTATAAACCATGATGAAGCTGATGGACTTTGTGTCAAGCTAGTTGAAAAACCAAATCTGCATTTGGAAAACAACCTGCAGACTCCTTGAATGTTGTATCTAGAAGTTAAATAAATGCTCTTAACTACAGCTGAGTTTCCTGTGTTATCTAGTGGCGCTTAAACCTGTCTCCCTGCACTCTTTTTGTTGTTTGGTCAGGGGCAAGCCTGGATTGTTGATTATGGTACAGACAAAAGTGCTTTGCTTTTCATCCTGCAAGTTGCCTTATGACATTCAAACGAAATTCTTGTCTCATCCTATGGTAAAATGCATACAGTATATTGAGTGTGCATACAATTGGGGGTAGGGGAAGAATATTATCATAATATGATGACGCATTGTGCATGAAGCTCTCCAGAATGCCTCATTTGAGCTTTTGCCATTGTAATTCCATGTATCATTTCAGTGTTAAGCAATGCCCCAGGGTCAGAAAAACCCATAAGATGCAGCTGGTAGTTAACCTATGTGTCACTAGTCTGCACAGAAGATGTAAACCAGAACATTTCCATATGAATAATGCCATCTGTTTTTTAACTCCTTTGCATTTAGTTCTCAACCTTCCCCCTATTACAGCCAGTGTCCTGTATCTCGTTTCAGTTTCTTGTCAGAGCTGCCCAGTCACAGCCTTTGTGACCCACAGGGTCACAAAGCAAGGAAGCGTGTCTGGAGCTCACGTTGCCCAGAGCTGATGTAATGAGGAGGGAGAGCAGGGGAAAGTTGAGGCTTCAGTTTGAGAGACCCTAAATAGTGCCAGATGCTGGGCTGATAGGATAGCCAGTAAGAACTGTAGTAGTAGACCTGGGAAGAGGGAAAAGGGGGAATTAAGTTTTACTTTTTCCTCAACCTGAGGACCCTACAGGTTTCCAAGGACAGGCGTGGACTCCATGCACATTTAAAAGATAACTTATTACTGTACTTAGAACATTTTGTTGGTCACTTTTTTCAAGATACCTATGGATTGCACATGTGATATTAGGTTTCATTAACCACAAACTCCAAAAGAGCTCTTCTGGATTAATTCTTTTTGCCCAAATTTAAGTGAGACACAGTAATATGTAACACAACGTAATTTATATTTTCTTTTTTGTCAGTTTAGACAGTGTTGTTTTACCAGTGAAATGCTGGATTGCTAAACTTTTTGAAATTTTTATTTGCTTGTGAATAAGGAAAATACCCTGTATAATGGATACTGAGTTTCAATCTTGGCCATGATGATTTGTGTGGGATCAAGATTTAAATTTTGAATAGTTTAATGAGGACCAATGAGCCTCCCTGTTGGGAGCTGGTTATAGCATAAAAATGCTATCGGATCCTTCAAGAGTAAGAAGGGTGCTCCTCCTCCCTTGTAAATGTTTCAAAGGTACTAGTCAGAGTTGACTTTGATCATTGCTAACATTTGAAATCTTGTGATTCCCATGTTGTTACAGTATCTTTTTTGTTAAATGTTAATTTTCCTGAATATAGAAGAGTTGCTACATATGGGAATTTTTTTTTACCCTGCTTTTTGCCCTCCAAAATGGCATTTGTAGATGAGTTATGAACACCAGGATGATTTTTAAGTAAGATTGTGTTATCTGATATAAAAGTTTTGCTTTTTGACTTATATGTTTACAAGAAGACACTCAAGGCTGCCAGTAACCTTAACCTTGCAGATACAAGCTTTGTTTAGCTCGCCTTAGTTTCCTCATAAGTAATACTAACACATTTCTTAAGGGCATGTTGTAAAAATAATGAACAACTTCTATATTATGCATACAGGACCAAGAAAGTAAAGCTCCAGTGTCAAACTGAAAGGATTAAGGCAGTCCCGAGGGAGTAAATTGAAGCTGCAGAAAAACATAACCCAGATGGTACCTGCTTTGCCTTTGGTAATAGGGAGCAGTGCCTGGAATGTCTGCGATGAGAACTCTGTTGTGCTCTCTGTGTTGGTGCTTTGAAGGCTGTTCACTCATGGCAAGGGGGGTTTCTGTCCTCTTTGTACTCCGGCAGGATTTCCGGGATGCTGTGGCACATGCCTCTAGGCAACTTGGAAAGCCAGTGATTGAGGACAGAATCCTGAATCAGATCCTCTACTACCTACCTCAGCTCTACGAACTCAATCGGGACCTCCTGAGGGAACTGGAAGAGCGATTATCTCACTGGTGATTTTAAATAAAGGGATTCCACTCCTTTGATGTTGAAATTTATCTGAGGGGCTTATCTGACTTCATGTGATCATGGTTTGACTCGTTTGCCTTTCATGTACCTTCCTAAACATCAGAATTTACTTTGAAAGGGTAGGAGATTATTTTTCATTTAGATGTGATTTTGTGCCATTTAGATGCATTCCAAAAGGTCCAAAAGGCATGAAAATACATTTTTATAGCAATCACAGTTTTTATTTGAAATTTCGTTTTTAATTGAAAGTTCTGGTCCCTGCATGAGCATAATAAGTGTACTGATTTCATTAGGGAAAAAGGAGGCTGTTCTGAAGACTGGCTTTTTAGAGGTAATTTAGATCTGCTGATCAGGCACAGCATTGATTGACAGCCACAATCGCCTTGAAGACGATTCTCAGTTACCACTAGTGGGTGGAGCTATACAAAACCTACTGACAAGGGCACTGCAATGGGTAGACTTTTCTCACCTTGAACTAAGGCGTTCAAACAGTTCAAGATCATTTTTAAAAGACTGTATATTAAGTAGTTCTCATCTAATATTAGTGTATTGAAAAACCTAATAAGGTTTTTCAGAATAGCAGTTGAGATGGGCGCCTATCTGCTGTAAGCTTTTTGCTCAGAACATAAACTAGCACATCTTACTCTGAAAAAGAAAGATGCTTTGCTGTAGGGTTAAGAGGTATGCTCTTTTTAGCTCTAATTGCATCTTTTTTGTTGTTCTCGTTTGCAGGCTTGAGCATCAAAGAATTGCTGATATATTTGTTAAAAAGGGTCCCTACCTGAAGATGTATTCAACGTACATCAAAGAATTTGATAAAAATGTTGCATTATTAGATGAACAGTGTAAGAAGAATGCAGGATTTGCAGCAGTAGTCAAAGACTTCGAGGTATTGTACTATTTTTATAAGATGTATCCTGTTTTGTGACTTTTTAGCAGTTGTGATCCTCCACTGAGCTTTAGAAACTATCCTTAATTTGTTTGTATTTTGGTGATGGGGATTTTTTTCTGCAGTCTCAGCTTAAGACAGGACAAAGACAAGAGGCCTTTTGAAGGACTCGGTGTTTCCAATTCAGATTATTTTGAATGCAAATGATAATTAACATTTTTGAAGCATGGATCTTTTAATTCTGTGTTGTCTTTAGATTAATTAAAACTTAGACAGTGAGCACCCCTGTCTTCTCTGCCTTTTTGCCTAATGGGCACTGACAGCGATCACAAAGGAGCATGTTGCCCTTCCTATCCTGTTTCCTTTATTTCTGGGAAGCTTCACCTCTCTTCCTCCTAGGTCAAAGCACCTGTTTTGAATCTACAGGATATAAGTGCTTACTCATGTCTTTCACGCATGGGTAATTTTGCATGCAGTCTTCCACATGGAAATGCTTGCTCTCTAGTGAGGTGCTTAACACTGGCAGTAGCACTTTTCAAAGATAAAAAGCTTATCCAGTATAATCAGTAATCGTTTGTATGCATGTTTTCTTTTGCTGGAACCTTTGACTGCTGTGGAATTGTTATTTATTTTGGGTGTTTCTTTCAGATGAGCCCCCGCTGTGCTAGTCTGGCCCTCAAGCACTATCTGCTCAAGCCAGTTCAGAGGATTCCCCAATACAGGCTCCTGTTGACAGGTACAGTCAAGCTTTTTGCAGGCTTAAGAAGCCAGTCTTGACATGCCCCAGGACACCTGTTTCCAGACAGTTGTATCCATCTGTAAAGTGTGTTTATCTGACTTCAGTATGTGAGGCTTTTTTAAAACATGTCACAATATATAAAGCTCTTTTTAAAACATGGTATGGGTTTAGAGGCTTTTTCTTGCTAATATTGATTGTGGTAATATACACATACAATGTTTCCAATACTGTGGTGTGTTCTGATGATAGATTCAACCGTACATAGAAAACATGAAAGCTGTGATGGTTTTTGCTTGAATCTGTGGTAATAGGAGCCTGTAATTTCCTCCAAGGGTTGGAATGCTCCTATTCTGCATTGGGTTTTGCCTTTTTGTTTGTTTTCTGGGGCGGATGGAGGTCTAACAAATGAAAAAGGCAGTATGGAAAATTTGAAGGAGGAGAAGAAAGGTATCTATGCAACTGTGAACTTCTAAGTAGCGTCTCCATTTCTCCCCCACCCAGGTGTTTTGTCTGTAAAATCTATTCTCTTTTAAAGGCAGAACACATGTTTTTAGTGCATACCAGTAAGTGCTTAAGACTTGCTACCAGAGTCAGCTTAGGAGCTGATTTGGAGCTAGAAAATCTGGGCTCTGTACCCTGCTCTGTCACTGGCATGTTTGGCTGGCCTTGAGCAAGTCATCTCCATAATGCAGTGAGGGTTTTTGTCTGTAAAGGGAGGGCAGTGACAGAGGCCTCCTTTGTGAAGTATTTTGGGATGTGTTTGTTGTAAGAGGGGGATGGCTCCTGTAAGGATTTGGAAATACTTAAGGCATTGTTTTTGAAAGCCATTGCTTCTTGATGAGCAATTTAAAAATAGCTTCTGTTTATGTAGTAACTGCAAAATAAAATGCTCTGTGACCTTTTTTTTTGGCTCTGTAGCAGCTCATTGGCATTTCCCCAGCATGTACTTAGACTAGTGATGCTGTGGTAGATTCAGACTTAAGTGTTATAGAGCAGTTACCAAAAGTTATTAACATTAACTTTTTCATTTTAATCATCTCATTAAACTCAAGGTGTTGAAAAAAGGTGGAGAACTCTTACTAAATGGAATATTCTGTAGGGAAAAGTCTTAATGATACTTAACTGATTAAATCAACCCATAAAACAGCATTTGGGACTTGCTTTATTTTAGAAGGATACTCAGAGCATGGTATAGTTTGTTATACACTTCGAAATCAGTGGAGCCTTGGGTAAGTTCAAAGGTTTTAATTGGAACAGAATTTAGTTGAATAGAGGATCAGGATGAAGCAAATGGCATTGTCAGTATACACAGCAGAGCTAGAGATGTCAGGGATGGTTGGCACTGAAACAAAACTCAGATATTGAAGGGGAGTTCCTCATGATGATTAATTGTTACGGTGTCTGGGACAGACTATTTTAGACCTAAGAAAAGCCTCATCCTGTGCTGATGGAGGTTATTGTAGGTGTCCCCAGTCTGCAGACCTTACCATGACCTTACCTTACCAGACCTTGCCTGCCCAGCTTTAAATACACCTGCAAATGCTGCTGAAAAGAATGAGATTGCCATGCCAGTGGCAAATATAGAAATGTAATTTTCTCTTGTTCTGTGTGAACAATAAAAGAGATCAAGCCAAGAATTTAATTACAGTGGAGCTGGAGAGTGATGTTTTGGATCTGTTTCATTTTCAGTCTGTTCAGTCTTTCACGCATGGATGTTGCCCTTTAGTTCTGACTCTTCCATGTCTCTGTGGCTGACCCATCTGCTTAGTTACCTTCCAACAGGTCTGTGTAATAATGAGCAATGCCTCTATAAACTTGTGCTATATGAAAATCTGGAGGACATGCAAAACATTTGTATCTTTTATTGCAGTGAGGTGTAGCAATGGAGCAGCTGCCTAGGCCAGAGACAGTGCTGGGGGAGTGGGTCTGTGGGGAGGAGGACAAGAGCAGCAGAATGAAAGTATTCCAGGAAATTAAGCTGTCAGGCCTGAGTCAGCAGGGATTTCTTCCTATTTAGATGTTCTGTGTCAGTGGGGCAGCTTTGTACTGGTAACCTGCTGCTACTCGGTCACATCACAAGGTTGTTGCAGTGCTTTGAAGTGGAGTTACTTTTGTGCTAACAAAAGCAGGAGCAGGTGGACTCATAAATCAGGCAAGGAGATGTACAGCTCAGCACTGTTTCTGTTTAATTATACAGCTTCTCCGGTTTAGTAAGTGGACTTCCATTTTCTCACATACTGGCCCTGAGTGCTGTAACAGTAAATATTAGATAGCTCATGGGGTAGGTTAATCAGAGGCCTCTGATTTCTGAGAGAAATGAAGGAGAGGTGATTCTCTTCCCCCCAAAACCTCTAATTTGAGTAAATGACTTGAGACTGTGCAATATGAATAGGCTCTTGATTCTCACAGGATAAGCCTCACTCCTCTTTTTCACAGCATAAGGTTGGCAGAGAGTGTCTTTTATTATCCTTAACTGGGTTATAGTGAGGGGAGGCTGAGTGGGATGAAAAATTAGCCTTTTTGCACTCTGCAGCTTTGCAGGTTGGAAATAGAGTTGTCAGACTCGAGCCAATTACATGTTGTGGAACAATTTATTTGAGTTTAATTACATTAGACAACCCAAGACAAAAAGTAGTTAATGACGCAGAAGATAATTTTAAGCTGAAGTGATAGCCACTGCCCCCAGCAAGTGGGAAGAGGGAATTGGGGGCTGCTGTCAGGTAGAAGTAAGCATACAGAAATTTTCATCATAAAAACAGTACTAGTGTGCTTTTATGTTTATTTTTGTTGTGCATTGGGTTATCCAGCAGAATTAAAAATTTCTGAAGATATGATTAAAGTCTTTCTAGTCTGAACAATGAAAGCTTCTTTCAGAGGGGAATTTATTTTTTTTTATTTGGCAAAGACATTAGATGTCATTTCACCTTAATATCTGACTTCTGTATTTATTTCATCTAGGAGTAGTTTTGTAAAAATTTTACTGCAACATTTTTCATGTCTGTGCAATCAGCTTGTCTGTATAGCTTATGCCAGTACCTCCAGAAAGCTGTTGTAAGCACAGAATTTCCAGCGTGTATTCACAGAAGAGACTAAAAATATCTGTTCTGATGCTTCTCTGAAGCTGAGTTTTAGCTGTGAACTGAGGTCCACTTACCAGATAAAGAGAACACTAAGATGAAAATTACGTATTTATCACTTTCAGGAGTTTACAGTTGTTTAATTGGCTGTTGCAGTTTTGTAAGACAAAGGCTGCCTTCTGTTTTTAATACATAATTTTAAATGTATGCAGTTAGGTTAAAATCTTGATTTTCCCTCTTCTCTTCACTGATTATATAATTTAAAATGCTAGAAAATACCCATTCAAAAATGGGTTTGAGTAGTGGTGTTTTGAGAAACATGTTATAAAGCATGAATATGCCAAGAAATAATTAGTTCCCATCTTGGGTCTCTGGTTTCATGTTCCCACTGCAATTACTTTGGATGTTAAACTGGATGTCTTCATATACCAGAGGCAGTGTCTTAGAGTGCCAGCTGTACATTTGCAGATGAGGAAATTATACCCACCTTACCTCTTGTTCCCAGCCTGTAGAGGTGAGTGAGTGGTTTGGGAGCTTTATTTTTGCATGAGCTGCAGGGACTCCTTTTTTATACTGGGAGATTCCCATTGGAGTCCTTTGTGCTGCCCCCAGTGAAAATCAGGTTGCAATTGTAAAGTTTTAATTTGTCGGTTTAATGAAGGAGTGCGAAGAGTGCTGTGCCTCAGCAACATGGTATAGCCCCAACATAAGACACCACCCATCCACAGGCAGGGCAGGAGAGGGCAACTGGTGGTGTATCTGTGACAGGTTCCTCCAGGTTAAACCAAATTAAACCCAGTGTGAACTATTCTCAGTTCCTTTCAAAATACCTCCTGGGTTTGTTTTTTTTTTTCCCCTCATATGAGCCTCTTACCAGAATAACAACCCAAGGTGAAGCAAGGTTAACTTTTTTTTTTTTTTAAATTGAATATATGGCCACCTAAATATTGCATTAGAATGGCTGGTAGCTACTACAGCACAAGATTTTGAGGGACATGAAGGATGCAATATTGATATAGTAAAGCAGGAGAAGTTTTGGTGCCAAGTCAGACTTGTCTTAAAAGATCAGGTTAATGAAATCCTGCTAATGATCAGGCAGATCTCTGAGGAGAGCAGAAAGCTGTGAGTGTTCCCATGGCCCAGCCAATCATGCTTCCCAGAGCTCCCTCCCTGCCCCCCAGCCGGTTCCTCTTCCTGCACCCCAACCTGCTCTTCATGCTTCTCCCTTGGATCCTCCCTTAGGTCTCTGCCAAACAATAAAAAGTCAGTGCCAAATGTTTCTCTTCCTGCAGTTCTGTTTTTCTCAAAGCTTTCATTAGCTGTGACAAATTCTCTTACTCTTTGGAGAAATTCTACTGCAGGAACATGTTTCATAATTCCCTTTTAATTTTGTGCACAAGGAAAAGATTACAATATACTGAATGGTCTCTGAGGGGCACGCATGAAGCAAGACATCTTATGAAGGCAGGAACAATTGGCTCCTGATCATTTTTGAAAGAAAGAATGAATTTGGGTAGGGCAAGCATATGGGAGTTGAATTATTTCACTCCTACATGAAGCTTGTACAACTGAGAAGCTAAAACTGAATGCTTGCTACATTACATGTAGTTAGTTTTTATTAGATCTGCCTGAATATTAATACTTAATTTAAAAGGTAATTATAAATCGGTTTTTGTTGCTTTTATCAATCTAATGCATATCTTTTGGAACATTTCTGTTTTGGTTTCTTTTCATTTTAAGGAGTTCAAAGCTTATAGAGGGTAGATGGTTGGTGTTCTTCTAAGGATATATATTAATCTTTGACAGGGTATTGCACTTTTTGATGAACTATACACTCAACCAGGGAATGGAAACTCGAGGGGGATGTTTTCTTGTATAGTCATACATTTGGAGTTAATTTTAGCGAAGTAAAATAGATTTTAAAACTACTAAGACTTTAATGGATCAAGGGTGCCATCTCGTGGTTGAACTATATTTGTCATTGAAAACAGAAAAATGCCTATTTGAACATTGAGGGAAGTATATTGTTTTTATTACTGAAAAATATTAATAATAATCAGATCTGTAATGGAATACATTTTTTATTAACTTCTACAGACTATTTTAGGTGTTCAGATAAATACCTATAATCCTCAAAAGTTTTTGCATCAGCTTAAACGTAAATGATTGCAAATATGTACTAGTTTTTCACTTGCTTGTTTTTTTCTGGAATAATGTATACAATATATCACTTGTCACTGGAGAAGACTACTGTTTCAGTAACCTATCTCTTTGCTGATATACTTTCATTATGGAAATGCTAGTTTTCCCTTCGTTATTACCTTGACACATTTAAAAGATGAAGTAGTAGATCTTTGTTGATTAAGTAGTGGATCTGAACAGTAGATTTCCAGGAAAATGAGGGGGTTTACTACTTTCTGGTGTTGTTTATTCATTTAACAAAAATATCTCTATATTATTTTTTTCTTTATACAGATTATTTAAAGAATCTTTTAGAAGAATCTGCAGACTATAGGGATACTCAAGGTAAATGTCTCTTTAAAGAAATAACAGCTTATGTACCAGTGTTTCCAGATTTTAAATGCAAAATGCTAAGCTAGTATTAGAAATGTTTTCTATTTAGTTCTAAGTTTCTCAGCAGAGATACTAAAATATTGCACTCTTGCATTTCAAAAAAGTTTGGAGCCGGCCGTGATATCAGCTCACACTTGAGTTGAAACCAAGAGATAAGAGTGAAGCTCCACAGGCAGTTTAAACAGATATTTTAGGCTATTGAAAGAGACAGTCCCTTGCAACTGTAGACCTTTAATAGGCAGCCTGCTCTCTCCAGCTATGAGCCTTTCTGGCCTCCTCCTCTCTCTTTGTGCCAGGACAAGCATCCATGTGGCAGAAGTGAGCAAGATCAAGGAGCTGCCATGGGTGATATTTAACCTGAGGAGTTCTCCAGTTTGACTTGTCAGAAGCTGCACAAACACAAGTTACTTACACAGGTTTGCCTGCATGTGGGGAGAAAGGAGATCAGAGGAAATGAGAAGTAGTTGGTGATGAAGAGGACAGGACCACACACTTCATAGTAGTGCAGGATTAAGGTGGTTTAACTCAAGCATATCAATGCAATGCACATTCAGGCTGTTTCCTTCTTTAGAATGTGCCTCAGCAGTACAAAAAATGCTCCCAGTCGATGTTTCCTTTTCATTTGCATAAGGTCCTGTCACATTTGTGCAGGTCCATTACCTTTAGAGAGTAGTTGTAGTTGTAGTTGATTGAACTTCAATAAATGAATACCTTCAATTTACTGAGCCAAGTTTGCTTTGTGTGCTGGTACAATACTGTGAAATATATGAGTAAACACATTTCTTAGGACATTTAGACCTATTTAAGTATGTTGAAGATACAAGCCAAAAATATTTTAACTGATGGCTCTCCAAGAGATAGAAAAATTCATCTTGCACTTCTTATGGCTGTGAACAAAATAACACTTGCACTGCATATTAAATAGTTGGCTACTTGAAAAGAGAGCAACCTAAATATATACTTCACTTTTTGTGGTTCCTCCAGCTTCTTTGTTTTTTGTAGCTGTCTCTTTCACAGCGTTTTTCTCTCCCTTCTTATATCAGATAGAAGCTGAAGCTAAGTTAAAACAACAATTAAGTGTTAATTTGACATTTGACATATTTGGTAGTCCATCTTAGAACTTGGGTAAGAAAAGAAAGTCTAATCTTTAGTCACCAAGATCTTTCCTGAAATAATTAAGCTTAACTTACTTCTGAATTTGCTTAGTTGTTTAATTCCACTGCAGGGCCTGGGAGTGAAGGGGAGGAGTGGAGAGGAAGACTAGGTTTGGTTGTGATTAGTACTCTTGGAAAAAAAAAAAAACCCAAATAGCACAAATCTTCTTGCTGACCTTCATTTGAATACATTACTTCAGCTAAGTGGTATAAGTGGAATGCTCTTCCCTGCCAAAAAGCACTTTGTTTCTGGACTTTGACCCTATAGATTATTTTATGTTGTTGTTTAGTTTCATTTAGTCTTGGCTGTATAAATAGTCCTGAGATCCTGGAACTTTCCCTTCAGTAGCAAGCAAATTTTATAATTTCCTCTAAAATTCTTGAATCTTTCTTGAAGTCAGTGAATAAAATTTTAAGATTTTAATATATAGTAACTGAGAAATGAAGGAAAGTATAACATAGAGAATCAGGTGCTCATTCCTGTCTTTGTGAATTTAGCTACATTTGCCTTCATCTTCTTTCACATGGGTGGGAGCAGGGGAGGGTTTTGCCTGAAGCAGCTCCCAGCTACATTTCAGCAGGCTTGCTTGATACCCTGGCATCTATATCTAAACTTAAATTTTGCTTGAATGCTTGATATGTGCTATGTATTTTAGCTGTTTGACTCTGTGCTTGCATTGTCTTGGTTTGTGACAATTTTTTACAAAAATTCTCCTTTGATTGGCTTAGGAGGAGCTTTTTATTCATGTCTGTTTAGTTTCTCATATGGCTTCATGACATTCTGAACCTTTTCATTCAGAAAGCTCTGTCTTTTAACATATTCCCTTTCCCAATATGAGTCAACAAGAAGGGAAGTATATGCATTCTACAGTACTAATATTCTAATGATTATCTAGGAAAAAACCCCAAGGCCTTGGTTTTACCTGGTTTGATAGGCTTCTCTGTGGACTTTTAACCAAATTTATTCCTTTCTTTGAAGTGCTTGACTGTAATTCAGTCACTCAGAAGGTGTTAAATGCTTCATCAGAACAGTTGTTCTAGTTTTCTGTTAAGTGTCTTTTTCCTACTTAAGTAAATTGCAGGTTTTTGGATAAGATCCTTTATGGGATGCATCCTCAGACTGAACGCTCACCATGTTCACATAATCATTTTATATAACTGCTTTTTACACTTACTCCTTAGGCTATTTTACAGCTGAGTTGCTGGTTATTAAATATCAGTACTTAGCAAATTGCTCTTTTTTCCCGAGATTTCTTTTTCTTTTGGTATTACAAATACAAAATATAGAAATTTGAACATTACTTTTATTTTGAGGGCCAGAAAAACTCAAGGCAGAAGACAGAAATTTCAAAGATTTATATGTTTCCTAGGTAGTCTTCCACAAATGGCAATGATGGCATTTAGGTAAACTGGCAAAAACATAGTCCCTACAGAGTCTTTGTTAAAATGTTGTTAACTTTTCTGCTGTAAGTATAGTAAGTAATTCGTTGTGTGAAAAATTGGAATTTAATTTTACCTGTGGACTGTTTTGAGTAGCTGTAAGAAATAATTGACTGTTGGTTAAAGTAATGACTTGCTAGGGCACACTTATTAAACCATGATCCAAAGACTCTGGGATTTTTGGGAAGTGGTCTGAATACAGTGACTGTACAATAAGATCCTTCAATCTTGATGTGGAAATGCAGTATGGTATCTGTGCTTTACATTATACTGATGCTAACTGGTCTGCATAACCAAAACCTTTCCTCATTTCCTCATTCCTTCATCTTTCAGATGCTTTAGCTGTTGTCATAGAAGTTGCAAACCATGCCAATGACATCATGAAGCAGGGAGTAAGTATTTTGCCTTATGAAGCTGGTTGATTAAAGCTTTTTCTCTTTCTCTCTTTCTTTTTCTCTCTTTTTTTTGTTCCTTAATAAAAATCATGAATGCAAGGGCAAGTACTTACCTTCTGGTTTTTTTCCCCCTCATAGGATAACTTTCAGAAACTCATGCAGATCCAATACAGTTTAAATGGACACCATGAGATCGTACAGCCAGGACGGGTAAGTGCCCCACAAGCCAGTCAGCAGATTGCAGTGAAAATGAAGATGGTATGCAGGCAAAGACTGATGCTGGAATATACCAAGAAGAAAATTGGTCCATTGCTTCATTATTAGGTTCTAACAATCAAATTAATACTGCCACTTCATATGTGTGGTGGTTTTTATTTGTTTATCTGACAGAAACTTAGAATTTTTAGAATATGATGCTTGCCAGATTTTGCAGGCAGGATTTTGTCCTCAAGCTTAACCCTGTATTTCTCATGGTTTCATGTGCAGCATGGAAAACTAATGCAGTCATCTACACCCATTTTTACAGAAACCTAAGGATAAACCACTTTTCTCAGAAAGGGATCCCTGAATCCTAAAACTTGTACAGCACTTGTAGTGTAGTAATAATAGTAGTAGTAATAATAATAATAGTTATAAAAAAAAAAAAAGTCAGGTCATTCACATGGCTTGTGCCCTAAAAAGCTAAGTTTTGCATTTCTTGTTTTAATTTACTAGGTCTTTCTGAAAGAGGGGACACTAATGAAGCTATCACGGAAGGTCATGCAGCCAAGAATGTTTTTTCTGGTAAGATGCTATGCATGTTGCTATGTGCCTTATCCTAGTGTAATTTTTAGTGGTTAAAATATTACACTGCAAATATAACTAGTAACTGCAGGTAGTAGAAAAAATTACTAATTGTTGATGTTCTATTCAGTCAGCTCTAATGTAAAGCTATTATCTCTGGCATATGCACTAATTTTAATGGAAAACCATTTGTCACTAAAGTGTACTATTTTGAACAATGCTCGTTTAAAACCCAAGAGCTTTCATGAGAAAACATTATCTGTGGTACTGTGGAAGGTAGCACAGTTATTCCATCCCTCTTAGCTGTACCAGATCTTAAATTCCTGGTGCTGCTACTGCACCCTTCCCTCCCTCCTTTCCTTCCTCCTGTCTCCCTCCTCCTCTCTCCTTCCCTTTGCAGGAGCCCATGTGCATCCTGAGCAGAGCACTGGGTGGAAGTTAAGTACTGCGTTCTCTTCCTGTCTCTGCTACAGCTTTGTTTTGAAACTTCTGTGCGTCTCTGAAGTTTCTATTTCCACTTAAACATTTTGTTTATCTCTTCTATTTAGACAGTAAAGCAGCTGTTATCCTATAATTTATGGCATTATTGGTCCACAGTCTTGGCTGAATTCTGTCTTGCAGTTACCCTAATATGAAGAGACACTTTTCTAGGCAGTCCTGGAGTGTGTATTATACCAGTTATGGAAATACTCTCAAAAACGTGGTGCTATCTCAAGCTTCACAAACCAGATACTGCTAATTTCAGCATCTCTATCTTGGATTTTCTCTGTTTTGTTTTATGGGGCAGGGGATTTGTTTGGTTTGGGGTTTTTCTTAGATATAAATGGTACAGGGTAGTATTCTAAGCTAGTATTAGACACAGTGATTTTTCCATTTATCATGTTGTGAAGATTTAGTAATCATCTGAAACATTTAGTTATTTTGCAAAGAATCACATAGCAAAAACTTATGAGGCACTTCAGGTTTTGGTATTCGTTTATGTGAAGTAGTAAATGAAGTTTGGATCCATGTATTCAACAGCATAGAAAATTTAAAAAAAAATCTTGGTTAGTGTTCATTAAGTGCACTGAACAAATCTAAGTCTGGTAGAATAGAAGATAAACTGTAGCTGCACTTTAAACTGGTAAAATTCACAAGGTATGGTTAAGTTTGTCCTTATAAATTGCTAATCCATTCTGCTATCTCCTAGCTTCTGGATTGTCTTGACTTGTTTGAATGGTTAATTTTAATATCCTTTTAAAGTAGTTTGCTATATTATATACCTGTGTACATGAAAAACATTTTTGTCCCTTTTGACAGCCTGTTCTTTGACATTCGTGCACTGTTTACTCATGTGCCAAATGTATATTTACCCAAGGAGGATATAAATAGATACTTATTGTTATCTGAATTCGTACATGAAAATATTTCTTGGATTCTAAGTGGAATAATAGGAAGTAGAGAATACCCTTCTGGACAGTTATCTCAGTGCTGTAGGAGTTCTGTACTTAAAATGTACAGTAAAATGTACAGTAAAATGCATTTGAAATGACCTGTCTTTTAACAAATTTTAGTCATTAAAAAGCATTCTGTATTACAGTTCAATGATGCCCTGTTGTATACTACTCCAGTTCAGTCAGGGATGTATAAACTCAACAACATGCTGTCACTGGCTGGAATGAAGGTGAGTCTCTTGTTAAAGTGAGCCTTTCTCCAAATCTACCTAAATTCAGGCTTTCTGTATTGGTTTGAAAAGACAGCTGTCTGCTAAGGAAGGCAGGAGCCTCTTTTGAAATGGAAAATGTAAACCTTCTCTCTCTGAGTTATTATAATTTTGCAATTAAAGGGTTCTCAGGAAAAGATATAGTAGGTATAACAGTTCTTTAGCATGTATAAATTATATAATGTATATATATAATAAATTATAGCATATATATATAAATTATAGCATGTATATATATAGCATTATAGCATGTATAAATTAAAAAAAAAACCCTACAACTTAATAGGAAAATTAAAATAAAATGCAGTAGTGCAAAAACCACTGACAGAGTCAGAATATAACCTGACACCCTGTTGGTCAGGGTGTCAGTAGCAGTCCTATTAAGTAGTGGCTGCAGTCCTTCTGGAGTGACATGTGGTTTTATTGCAGTAGTGGTCCTGTAGAAGGGTGTAGTTTTCATCTGAAGGTCCAGTGATGATGTAGAACTGTCTGGTCTTCTTCTGGGAATTCAGTGGAGAAAGGCTGATTGTGGTGTTCTAAGTCTCAGAGTGTATCTAGGTAGGAATGCTTGGCTCCTCCCCCTGGGTGAACATCTCACAATGGGATGATGTACTTTTATCAGTCAGTCAGGCAGTGACTCAATGGCCCATTAACAGAAGATAGCCCCCTGGAGTTATGAGGGATGGGTCATGGAAGAGATAAAGAACACTGCCTCACCTGGTTTTAAGGGATGGTGATAGAATACATACTTTTGGTTACATTTTGCATTGCAACCTAAGACATCTTCAAATTTTGAAAACTGTGTTTACTGTTTACAAGAGATATTAAATGTGCTTATGTTCCAGAGCAGTCCTCCAGGCTTAACATTTTTTGCATAATGTGGCCTGTGGGATTGCTCTCTAGGTTTCCCTAAATATTCTGTTGCCACAGCATCTTCTTGGCTGCATTTTGCCCAGTGTTGTCCCACTCTGGAATGAGACTCACTTAGACTGCCTCACTTTTGCCTTTTAACTGATTTTTATTGCTGACAGCCAGAGATTAGGCATCTTTGCCTGATAAGATCCTAGTGGATCAGTTCTCTGTAGTTGATAGAGATTTGATAACTGAGATACAGCTTTTCTTCCTGAGCCTTTGTGAAAAGCATCAAAGTTAAGCCTTGAGCCCCACTGGGTAATGATAAGGGATATATGCATGCTGTATAATGACTCAGTCACTGACATGACAGTTAATGGGAACAACAAATCATTGTCTCTAGTCCTGTCAGAAAAAATCACCAAGTCCAGTTGCAGGGCAGATCTGGTGCTCAGGCCCAAAGTTCTGCAAGTAGAGCTGCAAAATCTCTCTTGCCAGCAGACGTCTTGCAGTGGCTCAGACCCACTCTTGACTTTTAGGGCCCCTTATGTATGAAATTTGGCAGCTCAGAAGGATGAACAGGGTAGTGCAGCCCTTGCTCACTCTGGGGTTCACCAGTGGGTGTACCTCATCCTGCAGCAGCAGCAGTGCCTTTTTTTGTCCAATTGCAGGAGGTGCTCAGGGGGAACATGACTGGGCCTGTGTGGAAGGTGTGTGACAGCTCTTGAGCTTCATTCCCCTGTACATCTCCAGCGTTTGTATGAGGGCCAGTGAAATAAAAGGATGGGCTACATGTAATCTTAGTGTAGCTGGGCCCTCTGGACTAGTATATGATTTCCTGTTTCTGAGTATTTTCTCTCCAGTGTTCCACTTCTGCAATAAAAATGTAAGAGATTTTACAGGAATTAAAATTAAAGCAATGACAAAAGTACCATTTCAGTTTGAGTGTGAAGTTTTCTCTCTTGAGTGAAGGTTAAGAAGCCAACCCAGGAAGCATATCAGAATGAACTGAACATTGAAAGTGTAGAGAGATCCTTCATTCTTTCAGCGAGGTAAGTCTTTCAAGTAAACAGTGATTTTAAAACTATGTGTTTTCAAACAGACCACACAGGCTTTTTAGAGCTTGTTTTGCGCTTAATGTAATGAAAAGTTACTCTTGGCTAGAGTGATTACAGAATAGAGGGAATCAGTAAATCAGAGTGAATAAAACCATTGTTTAGTTCTTCTTTTACAACTTAGCTACACCTTCAGAAATTCCAAGTACATTGAAATGCTACCCTTGCACTCCCTTTCTTTGAGAGGGTTTCAATTTAATTAATTTTAGGCTTTTTCAGTATTTCTTTCTTCTAAATTTACTTCTAAAATTACTGATATGCTCCATGTTACCAAATTCTCTAAGCAACAGCAAAAGGCTATATGGTCACTAAGTCCAGGCAGCTCTGGTCACTTTCTCTGAAATGCCTTTAGCAAAGGCCTGTTTTTGTGGACTGTTGTTTTTACAGTACTTGAGTTGAAGTTTTATGTGTTCTGACATTTGTGACAGTGCTGATACCAATGAAGAAAGACATGTTTTCTCTTTTATTTAGCAAAGCTGAGCAAGAGCAGACTGCTGCTTTTTGTGTGACCTTGTAAATACTGTCATGAGAATGCACAAAGATAGCAGAATCTGTAGCTGAGGGGTAGACCAAGGTTAACACTGTCAAAGAAGCCAAAGGAAGTAGCTCAATTGTCAGAGCAGTAGTTATTTATAACAACACACTTGAAATGGGTAATTCTGTATTTCTTCAACAAATTTAAATGTTTCTTATAGGTCTTCTGCACACTGGGGAAAAAAATGCATTTCACAGTTTAGGGTATGGTTCTGCTCCAGTGTAATATGAGCATCACTGTGCTGCTTAGGTGCCTTGTTGAGTGGATGCCACACAGATGCATGAAGGTATTCAGAGAATGGCAGTAGACAATGAGGATTTATCTCTGCTTGACTTGAAACACTGTTTCACTTTTAATTCAGTTATTTTAAAAAATTGTAAAAGAATAATTGGAACTTCTGAAAATGCTATCATCTTAGCATACAAGCTACCTATTTTCCACAAAACAGGAGACTAGTCTTTTTGATGAACTGATTAAGTGGTAGATTAAAAGCAACACCTGAGAAAGATGTGCTGGTCCATAGGGGAAAACCCCTATATATAAACATGCTCATCAAATTTGACATAGTTTGTGACATGCTTTTGTCTTAACCTTGAAATTGCTGGCATTAACCTCATGTTACCAACTGAGGCTGCTACAATTTCCTTTTTTTGTTTTACTGGTGTTGATGTTGCATCTTTGGGGAGCATTCAGCCCTGCTATTTTTATACTTGTTGGGAGCCGTGCATGTGCAGGAGCCCTAAGGTACACAGCAGGGACAGAGAGAGGTTGCATTTGCCTGGCATGAAGTAGGAGCTGGAGGCTTCAGATGTAAATGACAGTTTTCACTTTGTTTTCTGTCTGTCACCAGAACTGAGTCTGTTGTAGCGTAGGAAGGAAGGAATTGAAAAACACTACCAGCAATAGGTGCTTGCATATATTTTTTCCCAATCAACTATCATATTGATAAACATTCTAAATGTGCAGAGAATTTGTATCTTGTCAACCCAGGCTACATCTTCCTTTGAATGATTCCTCATTCTAACAGCTTATCTGGTTCTATATGGTGAAAAAAACCCAAACCCTTCATTTCCAAACTGTTCAAATTAGTCTTAAAGACACTGGAGCCAAATTTCACTTCCATGGGTTTTTTCAAACAATAAGCATTATGTGGAGTGTACACCAAAGAAAAGATTCTGAAATGATCCTGGGATTAGGGGCAGGGAAGTGAAAAATTAAGCTGTTGAAAAATTGCTAGTAATAAAAACCAGACCAGTTAATAACAGAAATATAGATTAATTCCTAGATGAGAGTCTTTGTCACTTCAGGTTTAGTTTTACTGACTGCATCAGTATTCTGCTTTATCTAGTTTGGGCTGAGGTTTCAGTTTTCTTGGGATATCTGTAGAAATGTGAATTGTTTTTCACAGCACAATGCAATATTGTACTAGAAATCTCTTCATCAGAAAAACAAGTTAGTACATCTGCATGACACAGCACTGTACAGAAGTAAAGCTTTGGTCCTGGCAACAACAGTCATGCCAGCCTGATGTGGTCTGGCCCCTCGATAAGGCTGATGAAGAGCTACCCCAGACAGATAGAGCTGCATCTCTTCCTATCCTGCCTAAAGATAGGTACTTAGCTAAGTGGTCAGGCAAGACTGGTTCAGCTGGGAAAGGTGCCCTAAGGCTCTGATCCTGGAAACAAGAGGGACACACTTCCCCATTGCCCTCCTGGGCCCACTGAGCAGCTGGATGTGTGCCCCCAGCACATGCATTTGCCAGCAGTACCCATTGCTGGGCTTCTCCATAATCCATTTGGAGTTTTCTACTGTGATGTTAAATCTTAAATAAATAAATAAAAATAATAATGTTTAAAAAACCCAAGAAACTCCTGCAATTTTAGTAAACAAAATCACTTTTAGAAGGACTTAAATACTGGACCTGCAGCTGTGGAAGCAGTGGGGCTGTGCAGCTGTGAGGAGGGCTGGAGTGAAACTGCTGATTTTGCTGCAGCAAACCATTACATCAATTCCATTGCCAGTGGCACTATCTTGGCTCTTACATTCTAAAGGATTGTAAACATTCCTAAAGGCTACCACTAGCAAACCTACCAAGCATAAGGTTCCTGGTGAAATTAGGTTGTAAGTCCATAGCTCACTGTGCAAGCCACTGCATACAGAGCAGTCCCCACATGATGGGGGGGGATGGGGTGCATAATCTCCAAAACCTGTGCCAACTTTCAATTTAATTAACTAATACAGTTACAGGAATCTAATTAAATGTAATCAGATTTTGAAAAAGCCAAAGGAATTGATTAGAATTATGAATATTACGTAGTTAATGCAGACCAGTTGTTCTTTCCAGATGAGGAAGCAAAGGTAAATAGACTGAACATTCTGTTCCACTCAGAATGTGAGATGTTGGGACAGACACTAATGCACTACTTTGCCCTTGCATGTATCTTATTTCCTCTCCTTTTGTCCTGATTTTGTTGCTGTGTGTGCTAGATTATTTTTTTTTTGGCTTGTGCCTCACAGGCTTCCTGCGTGTTTACTTCAGCAGAGTTTTCCTCTCTGATTCTGCATGGTACTCAGTTTCATCCCGTTCAAACTCCCCATTCAAAATATTTTCCTTAAAGGTCCAAAGATGATAAAAGCTTCCAAATTCACCAACAAAACCATTAAATAATAATTGGCATTAGACACCTCATTGTGTAAGTCATTGCTTACCTCTTCCCTAACTTCTCTTTCTATATGTTTGTGCTCAATTCATTGCTTTAAACTAATTTATTTGATACCAATTAAAAAGTAGGGAAAAGGAAAAAATGTTGGGAGAAGATTCTTGTTTAAATTTTAGAAGCCCTTTTTAAACTGGCATGGCATCTTAAATAGTCTCACTGTTCCTCTGCTGCAGAACTGCTTCATCCTTCCTCAGAGGCTTCTCTGTGTTGCTGGAACAAATAGTTGTTCAGCTGTGTGACGAAACTAGTCGGTAAATTGATCCAGAGGAAGGGCAGGTTGATGGCTTGCTTTAATATGGATTTGTTTCTCAATCCAGCCTGCTGCATAACTGTGTGTGTTCTGCCACAAGAGTGCAAATAAGATCTAGTGGCTGAGAGAAAGGATAGTAGGCTGCCCTTTGCAGCAGGAGCAGCACAGATTTATGAAGATGGTATTGTGCCCATGGACAGAGGAGGTGCTTTGGCACTGCACATAATCCAGTATGGCTGCAGGATCCTGCTGCGCCAGGTACTCCCTGTGCTCCTCGTGCCGTGCCACTTCAGCCTAATGCTTTCCTTGCACTTGATTAGTGATCCGCCAGCTGTGGGGTAAAGAGATGGACTAAGCTCACCTGTCTCTCTCTTTGAGTTAGCTCATCCAATGGATGAGCTTTTGGGACAAAAAAATATTATTTGGAAGTAGCGTGACCTGGTAGGAGCAAATAGCTAGGAGCACAAGGCAAGAGAAGAGTCAGTGTGTCTTTATCTGACAGAAGTGTGGAGTTACGCAGGGTTGGTACAACAGACTGCACTCTGAGACAGAAGGAAGTGAGGAGAAAAAACGCTTGTTGAAATTTGAGGTTGCCTTCAAGATGGAAGGCTCATGCCTTTGTTCTGGGAGCATCATTTAAAGAAGGCTTTTCAAGGGTCGGCAGAGGAGGGGGAAGCAACGACAGACAAGCCGTGAAAGAATCAAAGGATTTTGGAAGGAGCAAAGGGAAGAAAGGAATCCACATGACAACAACAGACAAATCTTTTTTAGTATTAGTCAATATAAATAACTAACACCATACCAAAGGTTAAAAAATAATGCCAGTTGCAGTAGGAGCTGTAGACGTTTTATAAACTGAAATTGCAAGAGTTACTCCGATGTGCAATAAAGCTAGTGGAATTCTAATCAACAGTTGCTTCTTAGAATGTTAATAATAATAAATTGCTTTTGTGGGTTTTTACTCCCAACAGTTCTGCTACAGAAAGAGATGAGTGGTTAGAAGCTATCTCCAAATCAATTGAAGAATATACAAAAAAGAGAATCACATTTAATCCAAGCAAAAGTCTTGAAGAGGTATATCCCACCATTATTGTTGGTTTGTTCCCTCTTTGAATATAAAGTTTCCTGACAGGTGCTTAGAGAAACAAGAGGTATTCCATGAAAAATAATAAAGCAGGATGGTAAATAATTGAACAGATGGTAGAACAGAATATTTCATAGTGTAATCTACTTCATAAATTTAAAATTATTTTCTTCAAAAAAAGCCAAATCAGCTTTCACAGTTCTCTCTGTAGCCTTGTGCACAGAAAGATGAAATGAAAAGGTTTTAAAATAAAGCCACTATTGATCCAAGTAGGCTGGTAAAGCTTTAAAGTCATTAAATGCATCTTTGTTGCTAGGCTTGCATTATAATGGTCACTGATGAAATAGTAGATAACATTTAAGACCATGAGAATTTATCAGAGAAGGCTTTCCAACACCATTAGCATTATCCTATAATCACTGATGAATATTAATCTTATTTCTCCTCACTGAATGTAACAACACTGTGCCTATGTTCTCACAGGCAGATCCAGAAAAACAGGAAGAAGATAGTCCTTTGGGATCAAAGGCTCCCATCTGGATCCCTGACACGAGAGCCACGATGTGTATGATCTGTACAAGTGAATTCACGCTGACATGGAGAAGGCACCACTGCAGGGCGTGTGGGAAGGTTGGGTGATTTTGTGGTTACCTCTTCAGTCAGTCATTCAGGTTCCTTGTGTGACATTCAGGTGGAGCCTTATCACCCCAGCTACTCTTCTAAACAACCCTGTCCATAACTACGTGGGTTAGAACCAACATGTTCGGGTTGGTGGTTTGAGGGCTGGGGTTTGGGTTTTTTGGACAGATGTTATGACAGACCAGTATTCAACCTTCAACATGTTACATGTTAATTATTTTGCATTCTGGAGAGCTATTTATGGTTATTTTGCAATTACGTAATACCCGTGAATGTTAGCTGAAATGAAGAGGTATCTTCCTCACTAATTTCCATAAGATAAATCATGGTTTTTTGATTTTAAGTTAGTACCAACGAGTACAAAATTAGAATGCAATGCAGTTGGAACATCTTCGTTGTAAAGAAATCATCAGAAGAGCAATAGCTTTTCAGCTATTTAAAAAAATTTATGATTGAAACAGTTCAGTAATACAGTAGGCTTGTTCTGTTTTTAATAGATCATTAGCATTGGTTTATTGATTCCTAATTCAGTGTTTTTTAATATTTAAATTTTTATCATTTTTATATTTTATTTTATAATTTTTATTCTTTAGAGGAGGAAAGTACAGCATGTTGAGCATAAAGACATAGTATGAGATCTTAAAACATTTCCACTGCAAAATAGTGGCTGTTTCAGGTTTTTATGGGCTTAAAAGTGCTGAAGTGAATGTGTTTGGGTATTTGGTGATTTACAGGTGTACATGTACAAGTAATGCTTTCATTTGTTTCTGTCTGTTTCCAGATTGTCTGTCAAGCTTGTTCATCAAACAAACATGGCTTAGACTATATGAAAAACCAGCCAGCTAGAGTATGTGATCATTGCTTCAGGGAGCTACAGAAGCAAGGTAAAGAAAACCTTCACAAACTGTCTGTCTTTCTTTTCTGGCCTTTATAACATGGTATGTGTGTGCCTCATCTTTACTGCTGCGTTCAAGTGCTTAATTCTGCTTATCCCTGAAAAACGATAGGCACCTGAGATTCTATGCCAAACAAGCTTCTGTGGCACAAGCTAGGAAATGAATTTGCAAAACATTGGCTCTTCCTTCCAGAAAAATGTGTGCCTTGACCCTATGGTAATGACATGTAGCTTATGCTGCTTTCCTTTTGAGGTAACAAGTGTTACATTGCTTTTCATTAATCACAGGGTAAAAGTGTACATTAGAATCCTTGCAGTTTATCCTGACCTCCCAGGGGGTTCATATTACCTTTACACTCTGTAACTTGTATGTCTGTAAGCTTCATTTTTGCCAGCTCAGCTGCTGAGATGGTTAAAGTTCTGGGGCTCTGTAGAGAAATAGGCCTTAGTCTTTATGAAGCTGAGTCTCTTCAGGTCTGTAAACTGGCCTCAAGCCCCTCAAGCCTCAGCTCATATGGAATGCAAAGATTTTGTGTATCTGTACATAGTTTCTGCAGAAACAAGTGTAAAATGGAAGCACCTCCAAGTGAGGTGGGAATCCAATCCCATTGCACAAGACTTGGTGTGAATTAAGTCGAAATACTTGAGTATGAAGTACACAAATGAGCTGGAAAGAGACTGAAGGAGCTATCTGCCCTTCCCTTGGCAGAGGCTCCAGTGCAACACGAGCTCTTTAGGGTATCAGGAAATCTGTGGTGCCCGGTGAGATAATAAAGCTATGGATCCCAGCACGCTGGGGGTGACATTTCTCATGGGGGTGCGGAAAGCAGCATGGAGAACCCTGGAAATGACAGTGAGATCCTGCGCTGATGGGAAGGCAATTGTCTGAGCCACCTGCAGGTGTCTGCACTGGGCACTAGAGGCTGCTGTGCTGCAGGTAATTGCAGCTGCCTGGAGCTGGGAAAAGGGCTGGGGAGCAGGTGCAATACAGCTGGCAATCACACTGCTCTCCTGATCTTCTCATTATTTCAGAGGCTCACCGAGTTCAGGGCCAACTCTAGAAGCAGACTTTATGAAACCACTCATTCCAAGTGCAGCTGTAAAAAAAGTGGTGGGTGTAGTTAGAAAAAGGGTTTTTGAAGAGGTGAAGTGCTGCAGAAGTCTTTCAAGAGAGATGAAGTAATGCCTGTGGCAGTGGAGGAAGCACATGCTGGGAGATGGGAATGTCCAGAAGAGTGTGTGTGCTGGAACAGGAGCATCCCTATTGAATAAGGTTGAGAAGTTAACAGATGTAGAGAATTGAAAGATAAAGTACAGACAACATAAAGGACAGCTGTAAAAATTTACTGTCATTTTTAAAACTTAATTTTCACCCTCTTTATGAGAAAAGGCAGTTCAACACCCAGAAAACAGACTTTGAAAACAAACAAGACTAATTTGTCTAGTTTTAAACTTGTAGGTTTTTTTCAGTATGGTTGTAATTTGGAGGATTCTAACTCATGGTGTTGATGATAACACTGAAAAATTAATTCAGTGCTGAATTTAACATGATTAGGTATTATTACTGTAACCCTGTAATCTGAATAAAAATGCCAGCTTTTTTTTAAGAAGAAAAGTCCAAGAATGAATTGCCTGTGTTTAGTCATCTGTGACATGAAATCAATATATTCATCCTGTGCATTTTAGATAACCAGTGCACTCCTAAGAGTGGATCCCCAGTCAACCATAAATCTCCATCAAGTGCCTTGTCTACTGTATTACAAAGTATTCCCTCTGGAAGAAAGCAGAAAAAAATTCCTGCAGCCCTCAAAGAAGTAAGTGTTTTATTGGTCAGAAGAGGTTGTGGACTCTCCATTCCTGGGAGTGTTCAAGACCAGACTAGATGGGGCTTTGAGCCATGTAGGATCTAGGGGAAGGTGTCCCTGCCCATGACAGGGGAGTTGGAATGAGATGATCTTTAAGGTCTCTTCCAAGCCAAACCACGCTGTGATTCTTCTGATACAGGAATGTGTTCTACAGCTGTATGTTTTCCTCAGTGTTTCAACTCTCTTGTCCTGTTGTATCCAATGTAAGTTCCAATCTTCATTTACTGGAAACCTCTCTTCCAGACCAGATAGATGGTAGCAGGTAAAATAATTTTTCTTTCATCCCCCTGAGTTAGTTAGTAACATTAACCTGAGATCAGGTAAGAATTTCAGTCTCTAACAGACAGGGATCTGTAAATCTGTTAAAAAAAAAAAAAGCTGTACTGTGAAATCTTATTAGGGTTTTTTGATTAATTTTGTTTTTCCTCTTCAGGTTTCAGCAAACACAGAAGACTCTACAATGAGTGGCTACCTACACAGATCTAAGGGCAGTAAGAAACCATGGAAACACCTGTGGTTTGTTATAAAAAATAAGGTGCTATACACATATGCTGCCAGTGAGGTAAGAGACCACATATTAGAAATTAAATATCCAATGATAATGCTGTCTTTGTAACAAAGTTGTTTATTCTTATGATCTACAAAAAAAAGCTATAAAATTAGATCACCTTACAGTATTTGATCTGATTGTAATGCAGTATTTTGAAAAGGCCCTATGAGCTTGATACCATAGTAGATTGATATAGCTATGCTGTTCCTGATTCCAGATCTAGATTTTGAGTACCTGTGCACTGCATACCATTGCTCAGTTGTAGGTATTTTTGAGTGAGTTGGATACATGGGGGGTCTGTTTGCATGCATCACAGTGTACTAGTGGCAAAGGCAACATTGTAAAAGCATCTTGAACTATCTTGTTCTGTAGTTCCGTAGGGTATTTTGAATGCTTGTAAAAGGAGTAAACTAAATCTCTTTACTGCTCCTCAAATTGTTGTCTTCAGCCTGGGGTTATTTGATATAAAAGAAATGCATCTTATGTAACAGCACTTGCTTTTTTAAATTTAGAATGTGTAGTCCTATTGCAGTGTGGAATAATCTCTAATGTATACATATTTTTTATATATATGGTATCCCAACATGTTCTGAGGATGTAGTTTTACTGCATCTTAGAATGTTCTTAGAATTTTTTGTAACATATATGGATGTATTGATCTTGAGCTTCAGGTTTTTGTATTGTTATAGTTTACTGCTAGCTTTCAAGAGCAAAATATCCAAAGCATCTGTTTTAAGGTACTGCTATCCCTCACTTTCTTTCAAAATATGAGGCCAAACCTATCCTGGCCATGTAAAGAATTTTCCTTCTTCACTCTATGCCACCCCCACTCTAGTTATTTCCTGGTTTGTGCTCAGATTTTTTCCTGGGTTGTTCCTGCCAACCTTTATTTTAGAACTTCTGAATTATGTCCAAAACCTGTGATGTTATTTCCACTACAGCATTGGAAATACTAAAAAAAAAAACCAAACCCCAACCCAAGTAGTTCTAAAAATAGCTTAAATAATTATGTAGAAAACAATTTTTTCATTGTTTTCTTTTACATCAATTAGAAAATAATTTCAGAGCATTGTGCCTCTTCTGGCCTTTGCAAAGGAAACTTTGGCAGAGGTAAAAAAAGAGCAAAGTCTGTGACAGTCACCTTAAGTTTTCTTTTACTTTGCTTCCTCTGAGATATTAGCCTTACAGAGTAGCTTCAGTTTGCTGTCAACAATCACAAAATGAATTCTTTCATATCTTCTTAAACTGAGGAATATCTGTCCTTAGTTTGGTTTTTTTTTTGGTAAGCCATTGCAGGAGACATTATTTAGAGAGTCTAAAGGCAAGGTGCAGTGTTGCCTTGGCCACTTAAGCCACTTATATTTGTTCCAAGTGATAGAAAGATCCATGGTAAAGAAATCACCTATTAGTAGTATGTAGACCTGAGACAGTAAAACAGATTGCTCAGCCTTACAGGACTCTTCAAATATCAAGAAAGGCTGCTGTCACAGGACTTTTGTTTCACTGTAGAGGCAATTAGCAAAGTCTTCACCTGATGTATCAGTGTTTATGTAAGTTTTGCGGGGGGGGGTTAAATATTTGTTTTTCTTTTGTTCATAAGCATTGTAGGACCTTGCCTAGTTAAAAAACACTTTTTGGAATTCACACAGGATAAAAATTACTTTTTTTTTTAATTCCAAAAATCAGTTTGTGTATTGTATTGTATTCATTAATAAAAAGACAAGAGTATTAAAAAAAAAAAAGTAACTGAGATAAATGAGGAAGGGTCTTTTCTAGTCAACTGTGAACACTTAGCAACCTTGTTTTCCTCTATCCGGTTGATTTCCAGTAAAAGAAACTGAGAGAAGTTTAGCCGTTTAAAGATTAGGATCTTAACTTCAGAGCTTGAGAACACAGGTTGCCTGCATAGCTCCTCCTTTTAGCATACTCAGTGCAGTTTATAGCATCCCACTCCACTTCTGAGCTTGCTGGAGAGAGCACTGGGCTTGATGGGCCTCTGCTCTGCTGCCAGTGGTGGCTGATCTGTTGATACCACAAGTCCTTGCCAGGCAGAATGATGAGACCATGCAGCGAAAGCCAAGGTAGATGCTACCAGGGAAATGAAAAGAGGATCAGTGATGTTGAAGTCTGCAAGGTTTGATTTCCTGTCCCCTAACTCATGCAGGGAGAATATAAAAAGGAGCATTATGTGTGGGTCTGTTTGTAATAATTTGTTGTATTGTCTGCTGCAGTGGTATGGTGTATGAAGTCTAAATGTATGACTCAGTATGTCTTACAAGCTCTAATTTTGTATTTTTTCCTTTTTCTCCCTGTTACATAGGATGTGGCAGCATTAGAGAGCCAGCCTTTACTTGGATTCACAGTCAGTGAAGTAAAAGGTGAAAATTCAGAGTCTAGAGTGTTCCATTTACTGCACAAAAACACTTTATTTTACATATTCAAGGCAGATGATCCCCATTCAGCTCAAAAGTAAGAAACTATTTGAATTCATTTCTGTTACATATTTCTAAAAAATTCAGAAGTGGTGAATGTTAATATTCACACATTAAGCATATGTATAAAAGATCCATACTATATCATAAGTCAATGAAAGTTTTAAATTACTTAAACACAAGGTTCTGGTTTCATTAGAGCTTCTGAAATGAAGAAAGCAGACTCTGCTCTGCAAAGGACTGAATGTAGAATGAGAACGTCAAAGAGAAAATAAGAAATCTTTCTTTTTCCTTGCCCATTCCTCTCACTCTGGTCCATGCAAGTGAAAATTGAATGTTACCTTTGGAGAAATCCAGAAAATGTTTTTAAGAAATAACTGATATGCTCCTTTTTAAATTTAAACCGTTCATATTAATTATTTTAATCAATATATGGCAGTGAAAATCAAAGCAAACACTAGAAGTTGGGGGCCAAGGTTTGAAGTGTGTGAACTGATGCCCATAAGCACCTAGGCATGCACTCGGACCAAAACCTTGCATTCAAAGAACATTCACACAAGCTGTTTTGTTTCAAGTCCTTTCTGAATTTGGAGTCATATTTATCAAGCTATGTATTGTGTCAACCTGAAAGCTTGGTCATTAATCAGTAAAAAACATTAATTATATAATTCATGGAGTAAACTAGAAATGAGCATAGAAGGAATATATGTAAGCTATTTTTCTTACATGCCTATCTTATGTGACTGGTTTTACTGCAGTTTCCCCAAATGAATTTTGTATTATTAAATAGATATGACACACGAGCCCATTATTAGTGCTTAAACATTCAAATGGATACAGGTTTAGTTTTCTGCAGATAGGAACGTTCTAAAAACAAAGTATCCAGTACAATAGGAAATGTTGAACAGCTGAGAACGTGCTTAATGACACTTCTCTACAGAAAAAAACCTGTAAGTCTATTTGATTTTTGGGAGTATTTTGTGCAGATGTGCATAAATATTTCTTTGTTAATTAAGATACTATACTGTTGTTTTCCCTGTGTCCTCATTTGTACTATATAAAACAACTAAAAAAAACCCCAGGCATTCAATAAGTTTATTTTTCTACTCAGACAATTGCTTTTCTCATCAGAAGGAAACTTAAAATTTGACATAGTGTATTTTACTGAGGTTAGGAATAACACTAAGTACTTTGAATTTCAAGCTTTCTCCAAATATTTAATATCCTTAGGAGCTTTATGCTGAACCTTCAGAAGAAATGCTGCTTTTACAGCCTTAAAAGGAAAAACAAAAACATGCTGTTGGCCTGTTTGCATCGGTGGGCAGTAATTTTTCCTGATAGGACCAAAGAAATAATCGGATGTATTTATCTAAGTGTGTTAATAAATTTTAACAGATGGTTACTTTTTATTGTGGTTTTAAATTCCAATGCTATGGTCACTGCTTAAGCTGTTTCTGAATTTCTTATTGGTATTCCACTTCAGTTGTTTCCAGTGTATACATGGCAGTGGAAAATACTAAAAATATTACTAAAAAGTAAGCTAGGTATTTGAATTGTGTGTGCAGACATGCTTGAGCACTAATACACGATTAATATGTTAATGCCAAAAGCTTGAATTCAAAGTTCATGCACACAGTTACAAAAGTAAATGCTCAGGGCAAGGAAGAGCCAACATCTGTGACTAATGTTTAGATACCCTGTGAATACCAAGACAGTTTGAATTTCCATGATAAAGAAAATTACAATCTTTGTCTCATTCAGTTCTTCCAATATTTCCACTCAGGAAAAAAAAATCATCATTTTGTGGGCCTCTTACCTTTATATGAAGTTCAGTCCTCATTCAGGAAACAGAATTACTTGTTCTGTAGCATCAGAGTGCTTCAGGAACATTATTTTTGCCTCCTTGAGAAGCTGAGGATGTTTATTACCCTCCTAAGTAGGAAAATAAGCCACAGCTATAGGGAATAAAAGTATCTGACTATTAACTTTGAATTTCCAGTTTAAGAAACCTTGGATCAGCTGTTTGGGACTTCCCCCTGTGCCCTCCTTGCCTTTCTCTGCCTTTCCATGTGCCCTCCTCCCTCTGCCCCACCAGTCCTGGCTTTTACCTGCTGCAGAAGCAGAGGTGAAGCCATGCAGATGGCTGCCTCTGTTACAGCAGTGTCCTGATTCCTCCCAGATGATTGCAGTGAAAATGAGAAATGAGTATTGGGGGTTTTTAAAGGTATACAGAACTTTTTGAGCATTTGGTTTCCCAGCTTCACCGGTCCTTTGTGCACTGTAACTTCAGGATGGGAGACTTCCATCGGATGTCCTTGTACCAGGCAGCTTTGTATGTTTGGACTCATTGGATAGATTTTGGTATTTGCACTCACAGACCAATTGGTAGTGGAAGAATGATGTTACTTCTTGTGTGAATCTGTAGCTAGTGACAGCAACGAGATTTATTCTTTCATCAGCTACTTCCTAACAGTGTTTATTTTTCTAACAGGTGGATAGAAGCTTTTCAAGAAGGCACTGTATTATAGCAGTGTCAGCATCGTGTCTGCAAGTTTAAAGGAAAATATCCAAGGATGGTCATAAAACAGACTACAGCAACTGTTCAAAGAAACAGAATCCTGCCATCGCAACCTACACAAAATTGTATATTTGTCAGGATTAGGAGTTGTTGCATTTTTAGTGTAAAGTAATATTTTTCTAAAGAATTGTATGTATTTCTGTGTTGATACAAAATGTGTTATTTATTAAATTCCAGTGTTTACTTAAATGGGCAGAATTATTTGTGCATTGAAGTCCAAAGTGTCCTCAGAATGGCAATTGTTGGTCAACAGATTCATAAACTTAATTTAAAAAAGCCCCACAAAACAGATTTGTTGCTGTTTTACATTTCCTCGTGATTTGTGTATAGGTTCTTGAGTTGCTGATGTTCACTTTGCAATTTAGCAGGGACAGATTGGTATAGGAATTTCACAGATTTGGGATCTTCGTTGACTATGTAAGCTCCATTATGAGAAGTTGTATAATATTGATGCTCCTTTCCTTGCATGGCAGTTGAAATCTTGCATAGCAGTACATTTAAACAGTACAACAAATTCTGTATCACAAAACCAAAATAAGGTTCAATTATTAAAAAACAGAAAAGGGAAAAGTATTTTTAAAAAGTTTGCAATTACAGGGATAAGGCACTAGAGCTGTTACAGTACTACAGATGCCAAAGAGACTAAATTAGTTATCTTCCAGCAATTGCAGGATTTATTATCTTTTTATGTTTCCAGTAAAAATTCAAAGCAGAATAAAAATACATTTTTGATAATCAAAGACAAAATATCTTACTAGTTTCAAAACTTCATGTCAAATGAGTTCTGTACACAATATGAAACACTGTATAAACTGTTGTTCAAAGAACAGTAAACGAATATGTGTACCCTCCTCTCTGAAAATTTTAAAACTATTGTATATTTAAATATTATGTTTAAACTGGAATTGCCATACCAAGACAATAGAGCTTTTTTAGTGCAGGAGGCATTGACAATGCCATTCTTTGAAATACTTTTTGTTTACAATATGATTTGTTCTGTTTGATACTTTAAAACATAATTCAGCTTTAGGTGTTTGGGTTTTGGTTTTTTTTTTTTTTTCTTAAAGAAAATCATTGGTATACCTCATTAGGAAATACTCACTGATGATTCTGGTGCATTTATTCTATTTAACTTTTAAAAAATTTTAACACTGTAATAGTATAAATGGAACTAGAACTATGAAACCCACATGAAAAGGAAGCCATTTTTATGTCAAATGCAATGCATATGTAGTTAGTTAATTTTACTGTATGAGACACTTGTCATAATCCCCTGAATCAAGCTAGTTGTGGTAACAAAATTAAGAGCAATTAACTTGAATAGTTTGAGTTCCATGTTAATAGCTATTCCATGGCCTCAAAGCAGAAAGAGATGATAGAACAGTTAATATTCATTGCACAAAAAGGCCAAGAATGAAAATGCAAACCAAAATTCTTTTATTCCCTCGATATACCTCAAGGTCAGGTCCAAGATACTAACAGAGCTCTGAAGAAGCTTGATTTCCAAGAGCTTCTCAAAAGTTAGTAGTGGGCTTGGAAGTCAAATTCTTAATATTAACTATACAAGTAACTTCATTGACTTCCAGCATTTCAGTAGAATACTTTATGAATCAGGGACTTAAGGCTGTAGATCTGACTTTCCTCAAGAACACTAGACATTTGACCAACTAGTGTTAGCAATGCAGTAGGAGTCTGATCAAAGCCTTTATTCTCTTCTATTGTAATACAAATGTGCTAAATAAATACTCTTCTCTTGTTATAGATGAGATGTGTCTCTTCTGATTTTTAGTATCAAAGGTAAGAGCTTCTTCGTATTTTCATGGGGACTGCACACAAATGAAGATGGCAAGTCATGAAGCAGCAAATGAATGAGAAATTTGGCTAGGAGCAAGGCAATTTAATTTCAGTTTTTGCTTTGATATTTTCCCTGCTGCAAAACAGAGCAATAAAAGTCAAAACACACACTGAATAAGGTGCCCAAGTTCTGCTTCATGTGGTGTCAAACTACCTCTAGAGGGTTTGGTGCAGAGGGAGAAAATAGCTTAAAGTGTTGTGTGGAAATCAGAGGACTTCTTCCAGTCCAAATTTTTTTTTTTTTTCCAAATCAAAAAATTTGTGACAGAAATAGATTGGAACAGAGCTTTATAAACACTAGTATACATATTGCAGTCACATTCTGTGTGAGATAAATTGTCCTTGTGTGTTTGAATATTTCTTTTCCTCTCTCCTGCATTAGTGCTTTGTGCCATATGAAGAACCCACAACACAAGCATTTTCATAACATTTTCAGATGATTGCTTTTCAAACTTGCCCTATTTCTCCAGTTCACCTCCCAGTTTGATTCATTACCATCAAGAGTAAAATATTTACATCTTGATTTGGCTAAACACTAAAACAAGATCAGAAGTTTTTAGACACCTGGCTACCTCTTCTTATAAGAATTTATAGTAATCAATTTAAGATTGGTTAGTTGAGTATGAGACAAACATTAGCATTGGATATTAGTTCTAACATTTTTTTCTTAGATGAATTAAAGCTTCTAGAATCCTGAATTCTCTTTAACTTAAAACTATGTGCCCAAAGGACTTAAAACAAACAGAGCAGCTTTGGAACACATTTTACTAAATATTTTGTGCATGGAAACTCAATTACTCAACTATGTTTATTACATCATAATGTAAAGAGATGTCTGGAAAGACACATTCAGTGCATTTGTTTGCTGTAACTGCTGTCCCCTATTTACTATCCAAATAGGCCTTTATTTGGAGCAGTCCTAAATCATACTGTCTAAATAGAAGAATAGAATTTTTATTTTGTAACTGAAAACAGTTTGAAGTTGTAAATATTTCTGTGGATATTCATCATTTTGTATAAATAAATTCACATTATTTGAGTCTACGTCTTTTCTTTTAATATTTTCAGGTTGTATGTACTATGTAATTTGTGTATTCAGTGATTTTCAAAGAGCAGAATTTGCTGCCATTACCTGCATATCAGTCTTACTTTAAAAATAATTCTCAAGAATTAAGGGGGTTAAATCTATGTGAAGGGTGTTACATTAATAAATGCTTTTGTAAAATGTAGTTCTGCTGTATCAAAGTATGACTGAATCACAGCTTCTGTTGGCCTTGGGTCCTTCATGTGGGTCAGAACAACCCCAGCAGGCTTGGGGCAGGTAGAGTGTCTGGAAAATGATCGGGGGGTGCTGGTCAACAGCAGCTGAACACAAGCCAGCTGTGCCCAGATAGCCAAGAAGGCCAATGGCTGCCTGGCCTGGATTGGCAGTAGTGGGGCCAGCAGGACCAGGGCAGGGATTGTCCCCATGTCACTGGTGAGGACACGCCTTAAATGCCATGTCCAGTTCTGGGCCCCTCACTGCAAGAAAGACACTGAGGTGCTGGGTCGTGTCCAGAGAAGGGCAGCGGAGCTGAGGAAGAGCCTGGAGCACAAGTCTGATGAGGAGCGGCTGAGGGAGCTGTGGGTGTTTAGTCTGGAAACAAGGAGGCTCAGGACACCTTACTGATCTCTTCAAGCACCTGAAAAGAGGTTGTAGCCACGTTCTCAGCTTCTTTGCTCAAATAACAAGGAACAGGACAAGAGGAAATGGCTTCAAGTTGCAAAAGGGGAGATTTAGATTAGATATTAGGAAAAATTCTTAACCTGAAGGGTTCCCAAGCACTGTCACAGACTGCCCTGGGAAGCTGGGGACTCACCATCCCTGGTGGTATTTAAAAGATGTGCACTTTGGGACATGGTTTAAGTGGTGGACTTAGCAGCTGCTGGGGTAAAAGTTGGACTCAATGATCTTAGAGGTCTTTTCCAACCTCAATGATTCTTTAATTCTGTAAGTATTTTAGCAGGGCATCTAAGGGAAAAATTTTTCTGTCAGGCTAGTTATGTTGCCTCCTTACATGTGTTTGAAAGCAATTTTTAAAAAAACTTGCAGTAACAGCAGAAAAGGATTTTCTTCTATGTGTGTTTTTGATAGGGATGTGTCTCCTGTAATCCTGGCTGACACAGCTGCAGAGACATGCCCTTCATATAGATCAAGTATGAATTAGGTCACTTGGTAAGAAAAAAACAATGTTCTACTGGTTACAGTGGCATTTCTGCTGTACTGAGAATATCAGAATACTTGGCTTAAATAAGCTTTGGTGCAAATTACTTGGCATTTGTTAAACTGCTCTAAGCTCCAGTATTTAGAAAGTGAATGTGCAGCTCAAGCTAGCTTGGGAAGTGACAAGTACTATAAATTGAGAGTGCTGCAACGTTTGACACTTAAAGGAATTGCTTAGCAAGTTAATTTTTCTGACTTAAATTTCTTCACTGAGTTAATTTGCATTTTGCTTTTGGGAACGTCTTTGATCAAAAAGCAAAATACAATGTTTCCAAGTACTGACTGACCTGGTGATCCTGAGCTAGGGTTGATAGATACAAGTGCAGCTGTGGGACTGGCAGCCGGAAGAAAAGAGTAAAGGAATTTACAAGATAAGAGTGTGCATAATTTCTTTAATGTTAACACATAAAGTTACTTGTATTCTTTAGGGTTTTTTCCTAACACTGCTCTTCAGATGTTGATGCTTATGTCATCTGATTCAGTAGAAATTGCATTAAATAGTCTAAATGATTTCCAGATCATGAAAATGCACATACAGCCCCAGTGAGCTAAACGATCTTGATGTTGCTGCTGATCTCTGACCACAGCTACACCATCTTCATTGAGCAAATGAAAGAAGAAAAAGGGAAAGGCTGTTATTTAAAGTATAAAACTCTTAAAATTAAGGTAATTTAAACAATTAGCATAAACTAAGGAAGAAGCTAACACTACTTTGGTCCAAACAGATGTTGAGGCAGAGCCAGAACAGCAGCAAGTTGTTCTCATGGCACTACCCCAGCACGAACAGGCACTCACTGGCAGCCAGGCCATTTCTTTCCCAAGAGCACTGCTGAGATTTAAGGATGGAACTTGCTTTTGCCATGCAGGCGAAGTGCAGCTCTTTCAGACTTAGCTGGTTGAACTGCTACAGTGACTGTGCAAGGCGCTGTGTGTGTTTCCATCACGTTGCATGTTTCAAACCCAACCTGCCAGTCTTGCCTACGGATCTGCCTCAACCAGGAGAGCCCACCGAGCTCCCCAAAGCCCAAGTGCTGTGTTGTGCACCTGTGATGTTCAGCTCTGCTCGATCCCATTTCTCTGCAGGGAACTCCTGTGGGGGTTTGGAGACTTGTGCCCTCCACTCGATGGGCAGAACACTCAAGAACTGTGTTCCATTTTGGAACCTTCACTCTAAAAAGGAGCAGCCAGAGAAAGTGAACAAGGCTCCGGAAGGGTCTCAGGAAGAGGAGGCGTAGGGGGGCCCTCATGGCTCTCACAACTACGTGTAAGAAGGGTGTAGTGAGGTGAGGGACTGGTCTCTTCTGCCGTGTCTGCAGCGAGAGAACTAAAGAAGTGCCTTTAAGCGGTACCAGGAGAGATTTCCAGATCAGGAAAAAATCTTTTTTTTAGGATGGTCGGGCGCAGGAATAAGCTGCCCAGGGAAGTTGGAGTCACTATTGCCTGGAGGTGTTTTAAGAGGCGTCTGATCTGGTGGCGTGGTTTAGGTGTTACAGTGGCAGCAGTGCTGCCTGGACGATTGCACTGGCCGATCTTACAGGTCTGTTCCAACCGCACCGGCCTTGGTCCCACGCCCCTGCCCGCAGGCTGCGGGCCTGGTCCGGTCCG